CTACAAGGTTAGGTATGGAAAAAAGATATAAGAGAGTTGTAAGGTTTTATGGGATAGACACCCCATAAGAGTATTGAGACTTTACGTCTTATGGGTATGTATGTTTGTTTATGAGTGGACTAGAGGAGATTGAGAGGGTCACATAGGTATGATGTATGGGAGCATATAAGGATGTGTTTTGTTATGTTGAAAGGGTGCACAAGGGTTTGAATTTGTGTTTGTTTGGGTTGAGAATACTCTATAAGACTAGAGGAGATTGAGAGTGTCTTATGAGTATTGATTGTTGAGTGAAATTGATAATTTGATGTAAGTTTGTAATTTTTTACAACTAGTGGATCTTGTTTCTCATTCGTGGATGTAGGTCAGTTAGATCGAATCACGTTAAATTATTATCTCTTGTGTGTTTGATTTATTGTTTGATTTTGCTTCCGCTGGTGTGATTGGATTGGAGTTTTTTTTCCAACAAATGATATCAGAGCTGTGGTGTTCTCTAACAAGTGATCTCAGAGCTAAAGGTTCGAAACATGAAAAGAGTTGAAGATTCAAGATGTAATAAAGAGGCCGAAGGTTCGAGAACATGGGAATAGTTTGGACAGTTTGGACATATGAAAAAGAGCTTGGTTTAAGACATTGGGAAGAAAATAAGCTTAGGGAGCTCATTCAAGAACAGAGTTCCGAGTTTAAGTTTTGAAGATGAGGATTAGTTTTGTATGAAGCGTGAAGACACAAGAAGAGGAGAAGATGATTGTAAGGACTTTCATTATAGGTGGAGGCCAAGCAATGTCCTTAGCATGAAAACAGATGATTGATAAAATTTGAGTCAAGGTGAAAGATTATTGGGAATATTGACTCAAATCTCATAAGAGATTTGTTTGAGATTTGTTAGAGATTTATTTGGGATTTGTCAGATATTGCTTGATAGACAAAAAGACTTACAAAAGAAGAATTTTAAGAGAAAGAAGATTCTTAATAGGTAAGTTTGACTTGCAAGAGAAAATTCTAAAAAGAAAGAGATTCTTAATAGGCAAATTTTACTTATAAGAGAAGAATTTTAAGATGAGAGAGATTTTTAATGAGCAAATTTGTATGGTTATAAATATGTGAAGTCTCTACAGGGTTAGGTATGAGAAAAAGATGTAAGAGAGTTGTAAGGTTTTGTGAGATAGACACCTCATAAAAGTATTGGGGCTTTACGTCTTATGGGTATGTATGTTTATTTGTGAGTAGACTAGAAGAGACTGAGAGGGTCCACATAGGTATGATATATGAGAGTATATGAGTATGTATTTCGTTATGTTGAAAGGGTGCACAAGGGTTTGGATTTGTGTTTGTTTGGGTTGAGAATACTCTATAGGACTATAGGAGATTGAGAGTGTCTTATGAGTATTGATTGTTGAGTGAAGTTGATGATTTGATGTAAGTTTGTAATTCTCTACAACTAGTGGATCTTGTTTCTCATCCGTGGATGTAGGTCAGTTGGACCGAACCACGTTAAATTATTATCTCTTGTGTGTTTGATTTATTGTTTGATTTTACTTCTGCTGGTGTGATTGGATTGGAGGCTTTTTCCCTAACAAATGGTATCAGAGCTGTGGTATTCTCTAACAAGTGATCTCAGAGCTGAAGGTTCGAAACGTGAAAAGAGTTGAAGATTCAAGATGTGAAAAGAGCCGAAGGTTCGAGACATAGGAATAGTTGACAGTTTGAGATATGAGAAGAGCTTGGTTTAAGACATGGGAAGAAATAAGCTTAGAGGAGCTCAATTCAAGAGAAGAGTTCGAGTTCGAGTTTTGAAGATTGAGGATTGGTTTGTATGAAGCGTGAAGACACAAGAGAAGAGAAGATGATTGTAAGACTTCCATTGCAGGTGGAGCCAAGCATGTCTAGCATGAAGACAGATGATTGATGAAATTTGAGTCAAGGTGGAGATTGTTGGGAATATTGACTCAAATCTCATAAGAGATTTGTTTGAGATTTGTTTGGGATTTGTCAGATATTGCTTGATAGATAAGAAGACTTACAAAAGAAGAATTCTAAGAGAAAGAGGATTCTTAATAGGTAAGTTTGACTTGCAAGAGAAGAATTCTAAGAGGAGAGGGATTTTTAATGAGCAAGTTTGTATGGTTATAAATATGTGAAGTCTCTACAGGGTTAGGTATGAGAAAAAGATGTAAGAGAGTTGTAGGGTTTTGTGGGATAGACATCCCATAGGAGTATTGGGGCTTTACGTCTTATGGGTATGTATGTTTGTTGGGTATGTATGTTTGTTTGTGAGTGGACTAGAGAAGACTGAGAGGATCCACATAGGTATGATGTATGGGAGCATATGAGTATGTGTTTCGTTATGTTGAAAGGGTGCACAAAGGTTTGGATTTGTGTTTGTTTGGGTTGAGAATACTCTATAGGACTAGAGGAGATTGAGAGTGTTTTATGAGTATTGATTGTTGAGTGAAGTTGATGATTTGATGTAAGTTTGTAATTCTCTACAACTAGTGGATCTTGTTTCTTATCCGTGGATGTAGGTCAATTGGATCGAACCACGTTAAATTGTTATCTCTTGTGTGTTTAATTTATTATTTGATTTCGCTTCCGCTGGTGTGATTGGATTGAAGGCTTTTAGCCCAACAACCTGGTCTGGTGCTGTTGTGTATATTGATGACCAAAAAGGGGAAGATCTTGATAGACCTTACGGAAGGGTTAATAGGAAGCAGCTGAAGTCGAAAATGTTGCAAAAGTGCGTATCTAATGGCGTGAAATTTCACCATGCAAAGGTTATTAAGGTTATTCACGAGGAGTCAAAATCTTTATTGATTTGCAATGAAGGTGTCACAGTTCAGGCTACTGTTGTGCTTGATGCAACTGGTTTTTCTAGGTGCCTTGTTCAGTATGATAAGCCCTATAATCCTGGCTATCAAATGGCCTATGGAGTTTTGGCTGAGGTGGAAGAACACCCATTTGATGTAGATAAGATGGTTTTTATGGATTGGAGAGACTCACATCTTATCAACAATAAGGAGTTGAGAGAGAGAAATAGTAGAATCCCCACATTTCTATATGCAATGCCCTTCTCGTCAGACAGAATATTTCTGGAGGAAACTTCTCTAGTTGCTCGACCTGGAGTGCCTATGGATGATATCAAGGAGAGAATTGTGACCAGGTTAAGGCACCTAGGCATAAAAGTGAAGAGTGTTGAAGAGGATGAGCATTGTGTTATTCCGATGGGTGGGCCACTTCCAGTGCTACCCCAAAGAGTTGTGGGAATTGGTGGCACAGCCAGGATGGTCCACCCTTCAACAGGGTATATGGTAGCAAGAACTCTTGCAGCTGCTCCAATTGTTGCAGACTCCATAGTCAGGTGCCTCGATCCAGGAAGGAACTTCTTGGGAAACAAATTGTCTGCAGAAGTGTGGAGAGATTTATGGCCCATACAAAGAAAGAGACATAGGGAATTCTTCTGTTTTGGCATGGATATTCTGCTTAAGCTAGATTTACCGAAACAAGAAGGTTTTTTGATGCATTTTTTGATCTGGAACCCCATTATTGGCATGGATTCTTGTCATCTAGATTGTTTCTTCCCGAGCTTATAGTTTTTGGGCTTTCTCTGTTCTCTCATGCGTCTAATACTTCTGGGCTAGAGATTATGGCTAAGGGAACTCTGCCTTTGATCAACATGATCAAAATTTTGGTGCAGGATAGAGAATAAGATGATCGGGATATCCATTTTTCGCATGCTTAAGTTTGTTGAAGCATTTCATTTTACTCGTTTTTTCCCATAAATGTTGATAATAAACCATGAATTTGTTGTTATATGATTATGTAAGTAAAATTATGAGGAAGAAAAGAACACTATAATTTCTTGTGGAGCAGAACAGTATTAGATTCATTGATTTCTTCATTCATGTACACATACATGTTGTTCTATCAGGCAATTTATAGACACCCACACCCTGCATTTTCTAGAAGTCTTATCCATTTATTTAGCAATGGGTGTTCATTAATTTAGGATTGCTTTCTTGAAGATTAGCTAGTAGCAGCAATAACACACAAAGGATAGGTGAATGAGGTGTCATATGTTGTGAATGGAGATGTTAGAATGCATCAGTATTAGGGTGACGCTGTCAGACATGGCTAATCAGTATCATCAGTGTCCAACTTGCAGAAAAAATACAAAAGCATAGTATATAATGACTAAATAATGCAGTTGGTGGAAACTACAGCCTGGAAATAGAGGAAATTACTTTGTTGAATTGCATCGCTGTCATTTGGAAAGAGGTAGTTGTGGTAATTGCAGTTGAGTTCGTTTGTCCCATCTTCAACCCAGATATGCTGTGATAAAAGCTTTTGAAAGCTTCTAGCCTCTTAGGTGCGAAACAGGGATTGTTGTACTATAAATATACTGATGTTTTCAGTGATTGTTTTGGATAGATTAGGAGATATTTTACTACGATGGCAAACAAATTGATGAGGGCTATGTTAAATACATTTGTTCTTAATGTTATTTGAAAAGTATGCTTAGAGTACAAACAGTAGTGAGAAAATCTCGTCTTAGTACCATCTTAAAATGACTTTAGTTGTGTTTTATTTGATTCTGCATTCAGATCTAGACTGAAACTGGTATAGTCATAATGTTAACTTGAACTGCTACTCGACTTGGAGAGAACCTCTAGGCCTAGACCAGCTTACGGACTGTGACAATAATCCAAAGCCTTGAATCCTTGCCTTGGGTGTCGTCAAGCAGCCTTTGTATTTTGAGCGTAGCTCGTTCTTGGCTGCCTCAAACATAGAAGAAAATTATATGAAAGCTAGAAAACACCTTTAGTATTCTGCAAACATTTCAGCATAAATACTAGGAATATAAACTTCAGCAACACATTCGGCATGTAAGAAATATGTAGACTTGTTATGTTATTATACAACATTTGGAATCAATGCCAAATCAAATTGATACATTGGTACGTAACCATCTCTAATGTCCAAAATTGATGCTTTTATTTCTGGATAATAACCCACCCAAGAATTTTATGTTTTTCATATATAAAGAATTGGGGGAAAGGAAGCCACAGGATTTGCACGCAAGTAATTAGCTTTATTAAGTTAAAACAAGTAAACAAAGTCTCAGTTTTTTGGATGAACGGTGTAATAAGTCTGAATAGCACTAAGAAAAAGTGCTGCGATAGCCCCCACAAATGCTAGGAAAGTCCAAGGGCTTCTAAAATGGGTGTGATAGGCTTGAGCTGCATAGGTGATCCACACGTTCCTGCAATGATTCTGGATTTGCGTTTTCACTTCAGAGTAGATACTTGGACTGGGCACTAAGTCTGTGTTCATCTTGTTGAAAAGTTTAGCCACCTCTTCATCACTTCCTAGCCCATTGTGGAGTATGCCTGCATCTCTCAACGCCTTAACATCTTCTGCTTCATCAATCAAAGAATCAAGGAAGCATATGTAAGAGGTGACAGCGAAGTCATTGTCAAAATCTGGGCACATTTCGTAAGCTATCAAGTTCATGAACTTGGGCCCTGTTGAGTCGTCCACGGTGATAGGAGGGAGCCTTAGTTTTCCCACAAAGCACAGGCGGTTGAAACTAATGTCCTTGAGGCAGCTGGTCTCACTAGGTCTCAACCATATCCCTGCTTCTCTGAGCTCCTTGACGTTACGAAATGTATGCGAATGATGACTTATCATTCTTTTTCCTATATATCTGAAAAGCCGGTCGCACCCCCAGCTTTTCTTCTCTTCTGTTGTGACTAGCAGTCTTGCTCTAAGAAGTTCCAGAAAATGAGCAGGTTCTCGTTGCTGCTGATGTTTCTGCTGCTTTCCTTGCTGTTGTTGCTCCTGCTCTTTCTTCATCTCTGCTGGTGTCATAACATTACCATCAATGAACCTTTTGATTGATTCCTTAAACATTTCCCCCTGGTTGCTTGAGGTTGTCAACAATTCAAGAACGCGATAGGGTAGTTGGTTTTCCAATAGGAAAAAATCTAGGTACACAAATGTTAGCAAATCATTTTTAATATTCATTTCATTCGATGTACCCTCTTTAACATCTACACAAGGAGCATAGTTTAGATAAATTGCTTGTAGAACTGCACACCCGTCTAGGAAGAACATCCAAGTCAGCTTCTCATCATTATCATCACAATATCGCTCTATTTCCTTTGGGTCATAGCATTTCTTCAGGTTCGCTAACTCCATCTTAATCTTGCTATATAAAATTTCCTTTTCCACACCATGCTTTTTTATGAAATGTGCTGCCAATTTAAGCTTGAGTTTCTCTGCTCCCTGGAGACTGGGATCATCGTGGTGGAGGGGGCCAATTGCAATCACCTTTGGCTTGAAATACTTCTTGAAATCTTTGTTCCCACCTAGCATAGATGGAACTCTTTGTATTAATGGTTTGGCTGTGGCTTCAGTTTGATCAGCTTCCAAGGATTCATCTAATGACTTGAGGTTCTCTAAATCAACACTGCTCAGATTGAGGTCCCCGTCTTGTACTGAAATGATTGTCTGTGGAGCATTGTAGTTGCAGCTACTTGTTTCATTAGAGGGCGCCTTCTCCTTGGACGACATTAATTTTCAGCTTCAGCCTCCAAATTAACAAGGTGATTCTGTATTTGTTTTCGGCAAATTTCGCTATATCTGTTGTATCGCTGAGTGAATGACAAATTTGGGAAATTAACCCCGTATTTAGCTTCAGATGGCATGTCCAAAGTTATCATGAAAAAGATTAATAATCTTTGTACTTGACCAAGTTTCCAAGTTTGGTATTTTATCCTACTTTTTTTTCCCTAGGAGCCATTGTTATGACTTTACCAAAGGAATTAATACGATTGGTTGGTTCTACTCATAGACGGTTGCCTTTTTTCTTTTGAAAAGGAAATGGATTAATGTTTAGTACTGTTTTTTGAAAAAAAAAAAAAAAAACACCATTGATAAAATCTTTAGGCAAGATAGCATATGATGCTTCAATTATATAAAGGCTAGAATTGCTTCTTTTTTTTTTTTTTCTTTTGTAACTTTGAACATTTTATCCATTTGTTCGTAGCGTAAGAGCTACATGCTTCAGCCTGTAGCTAATAGAATACTAGTGTGTTAGCCCCGTTAGACATGGTATTAATCGGTTAATCTATTTTAATTACTAATAAGCTTAATAATCATAAGAAGAAATTTTTGTGAATACTTATAAATAAGCATTAAAAATAATTATATTTATATCACTAATGAAAATTTTATTTGAATATGCATTGAACTACCGATAAGAATATAGCATACAAAGTTAAAAAACGATTATGATGAATATTTTATAAAGAGTAAAGATGCTTGATATTATTATTCTGTTATGAAAAAAGCTGCTAATGGTCACAAAGTTTTTTACTGTCAAGCTAATATTTCTTAAGATATTTAAAACAGCTTAAAAAATAACTTAAACTGAAAATATCAGGAAAAGTTTGCTCCATATTCTGCAAATCACTTCAATTTTTCAGCACAAAACAAACTTCCAAAGAACTTAGCTATCTTCAATGCAAAAAGTGGTGCATCATAGCTTCTGATCATAATTTGCATGACATGTGATCATAACTTCAATTTTGGGTTCGTAGGATATGGTTGGTAGGAAATTTAGATAAAAAATATGTTGACATAATAAAGACGACAGACCGTTCAAACGGGCAAGGAAATTAAGATTTGGAAATGCACTTAACGCTTAAGTAAATTATTATGTAAGGAAGAAAGTGGTGGAAGCAAAGAAACAAATAGGAATAGGATGGCTATGGCAGAAAATAGGATTAATCTTACCTTGTAATCTTTTATCTTGCAATTTTTATATCTGAAAATATAATTGTATGATTTGAATCAGGTGTGATGCATGCTTTTTTTTTTTTTATCTTTCAGCGAAACATGATTAAGTACTTACCTAGATCACTTTTTTTCATGTGAATTTCACAAATTTATTTTTGTTTTGCACTTTTATTTAATAAAATTTTTGTATTTAACAATAACCCTTAAATTATTAAAAAAATTTAAAGAAATATAAAAAAAAAAAGAATCTGATTTTGAGCCCTGAAGATTTTTTTAAAAGGTACTATGGTTTTAAAATATAACAAAACTTTAAAATTTTTAATGCAAAAATGATTTTATAAAAAAGTTATTTATTCACAAGACAAACTCTTAACAAACAAATATAATTTGCTATTAATTATTAAACATTATTGTTATTGGTGAATAAAATCAATTATATTTATTACTCGATAAACAAACATAGTCTTTAATAATTATATTTAATTTATAAAAGCTAGCTAGAATAGTTTGCTACTAATATCGAGTACTTTGTCATTTCACAAGAATAGTTTGTCACCAATAGTTTAAACTACTAAAATGTTAGGAAACCTTTCACTCGTTTCTCTCATTTTTCAGTGATTGACAGAGCCAGCTCGTCGCATCCATTGCTCAGGATCTTGCCCACAAAAGCCCCAGAAGATGAGGTGTCTCCTGTTCTTCTCCTGATGAAGGATGTTGTTCCTTCTATCTGTTGTCATGTAAGACTCCAGTCGATGAAGTTGGTGACTGCTTCTGTCACTTCTCTGGCATTAATGGTTGGAGAGGATGGGCGAAACCCTTTAAATTTTAGGTTTGAATCATCAACATATCTGTCTCACTACTGCTGATCTGTTCGTTATTCTCATTTCCAAGGCCTATAATCCTGGGCGAGTTGCCCAAATACATATTGCTGTAGTACTTGCTTCTTACTTCTGTAGCTAACTTTAGACGATCTTTTATGCGATCTTTTATGCTTTACTAATAGATCAAGTCTACTTTACATAACATGAAATATACATTACTTATTATGTGGAGGAGTAATCTTTTAATGTTCTTGGCTTGAGAAGCTCTTTTGCTCTGATTCCAGGTGCTGAAAAAGTAGGGAAATGTTTAAATGATACCCTTCTACTTATCGAAGTTCAGTATTAATTATTATTCTTGAATTATTCACACTCATTCCCAGTTTTTTTAAGGTAAATAGACAAAAAAATAGCAATTGCATGCATCAGCACTAGCCAGTAGGAATAAAATCTGACAAAAAAAGATAGTGGCAAAAGAGAATTGTGTAGAAATCTGTTAACCCTTTCATCCAAAAAAAAAAAAGAAATCTGTAATCCTGAAATAAAAAAATAAAAAGAAAAAGAAAAAGCAAAGCCAAACTGTTAGCTGGCTCTTATTGTTTAGGGAAATAAAAGGATTGTCCAGCTGTCATCTGTTTTACGTTTTCAAAATGTAGAATCAGATGGACTTAACTGTTAGAAAGTTCTTGGCTGCGTTTAGAAGCGGCCACAACAGCATTCATCAACATCCCCCGAAAGCCACTCTTCTCTAACTCGTGAATGCCAGCAATTGTAGTCCCACCAGGTGATGTAACATCGTCTTTGAGCTGACCAGGATGCTTCCCAGATTTAATGGCCATAGAAGCTGCTCCTAAAACCTGCAAAAGAATGAATTGATTTGTCTTACAAAAAAAGAGGCATACAACCGGCAACTAAAAGAGCCCCGTTAGAAAGATGCCATCAACTAGTGATTGCTAGTCATGATGAACGATTAAAAAGAGAATTTCCACTCAAGAATCAAGATATTCGAACCATTACGCTCTAATTTGAAAAGATTTTGTAATTAAGATAATGATAAATATAGTCATGGGAGAATGCACTACAGTCGCCTCAACCCACCACATTCCCTGGCCTTCACTTTTTCCCCTTTTTATCTTCCTTCTTTTATGAATCTAGAACTACTACATAGGAAAAACCAAATTTTAGTTACACATATACTTCAACACCAAAGTGTTTGCAATCGATGTAGAGTAATTCAAGACTACCACATGCACATGTTAATTCCATCATATCAATTAACAATATGTTTCAGCTAATAAGCCTACACAACCAATGTATTTTTCCAATTTCTTCATGGAGATCATCTGTGTTGAAGGAGAAAGGTATTGCAGAAAACACCACACAGCACTGAATCCTCTATTTTTTCTTTGCAGCCAAGTGGCAATTCTCACCTCAGGAGGAAATTCAGGGTTAAAATTGTGCCAAGAGTTACGGAGAGGTCAAGGATTTTGCTAAGGTTATAAAAAAAGCACTGAAGTACATGAATAATTTGTAGTAAACATAGCATGATTCATAAAGTACAACTGACTTACGGTTTGAGAAGCTAGTCCCAATGCTAGTTCTCGTGGAAGACCAGCAGCCACTCCTCCATCAGCCAAAGCTTCAATTGCTAAATATACATATGCTGGACCACTGCCACTGAATATTTTCAGGAAACATATATCTTGTCAATCAAACTTTTCTCGGATAATCAAAGAAAATACATAGTAATGCATTCTTTTAAAAGAGAAATAATTCAACCCAACCAACCAGCCTCCCCCCTTCCGGTCTGCGGAAAAAGAAAAAACAAACAAAAGCAACAGGTACAAAAAACTGGAAATGATAAATTCCTGTTCAGACAATAGGATGCACAGACTTCTGAGACATATTATAGGTAATCACTAATCAGTTTGTTTCTTCTACCATTAAAAAAACATTATACCTTAGGCCAGTGATAGCATCAAACAATTTCTCATCAGCTCTCCATATCTTGCCAACTGATCCAAATAATTTAGCAACTAATTCCCCATCCTCTTCTGTTGCAGCTCCTCCCAAGCTCATAACTATACATATGGAACAAGATTAGAGATTTGTATAGCCAAGCACTGCTCACAAACATGATAGACAAATAAAAGATTGCAAAATGAGCACGCAGGATTTGACAAAAAAAATGAGAAACAAATGATGGTTTCTCTGATGGATTGTATTTAAATGGTAATATTACATATTCTCTGCCACATATTCTAAGGACAAATAAGAAATGAGAAATTTATTGTGTTTTATGATGCCTAAAGATAGGATCTCTATTGCTGAGACCACTTGTAAACCCAAAATGGTTTAGAATCCAAAGATTGAAGATGAAGACCCAGGTTTCACACCACAATTCTCTAGAATCTAATGACAACTTCTAATTACTATCTTGCAAAATAACAATCTAATATGAAAATGCCTGCATGAAATGTCTCCAATAGAATGAGGCAAGAGCAAAGGAAGAAGTAGAGTTAAATATGAGAATATTTTGGAATACAATTAAAATAAAGTACAAAGGCACAAAAGCACAGAAGAAGAAAAGAGAATGGACAAAGATGGCGGAAGAGCAGTGTTCATGTTTGTTTGATATGTAAATCTACATTTTACAGCTTTGATTCATCATAAAGGTAAAATATAGGGGATATTATAAAAAAATAGAAACAAGACCATAGATATTATTGCCATCCATATTCAAGACCAACCTAAAGGAAACATCTACGAACCTCTATGGTAGATGCTATATCTAACCTTATCTTGGATTACACATCAACTCTTGAAAAATTGCAACCACATTAATTTATTACACAATACACTCTGTTATCCCAGAAAAACTCAAAGTCAAACAAATGATTGTGCTCCCAAAGGATAACGCTTAATGAAAAGCTCTCAAACTTAAAACAAGGAAATCCTTTTAAAGTCAGATTGCTCTTTTGTATGAGATTGATAAATAAATCAGATGAAATTAGAAACAAAAACTAGCACATAAGCTGGTCACGGCCAAATTATGCTGAATTGCATGTTAAGTGCATAACTTCTGCAGTGCCTTATGGATAGAAATTTTAGCTTAAATCTGAAGACAACAGTAACAGGAAAACAAGAAGAAAAACTTTCAGGTAGATAAATTTTCCATAAATGTTCCACTTTTTAAACATAACAAAAAGCAAGCAACCCGTAGTTTAGAACTCAGCAAAATGCTACATTGAACATCATTAACTTCAAATACTGCTTCGGTAATAAGAAATACATCTGCATTAAACAGGGAAAAAAGTATACCTGATGCTGCCTCACCAACAGCAGATGGTGTGTTCGGCATCACCCGGATAAATCGGCCATGGCCAGCCCATTCCTAAACAGAATAAAACTATTACTTTAATGAAACAAACATCAATACCTGAAATTATAATTGCACATGAAGATGATAAGAATCTCAAGGAGTGCAAAGTTTAAGAATGAACAGGCAAAGATGATGGGAAAAGTGTTGTCAATCATAGCAGTTGATTTTCTTTACAATGTGATCTAGTATGGCCATTTGGTTAAATCTCCCTGATAAAAATTAAAAAAAAAAAAAAGAGAGAGAGAAAAGGGAACTTCTACAGCTAGACAGTTCTTTCATTGTCAAGCAAGGAGTAACTCATAGAGACAATTTTGTATCAGTTTTGCTTTAAGAAAAGAAAAAAAAAGATTGGTTTAAAAGAATTCATTGGTGCTTCATATGAAAACATGAAATTGGGACTGTAAATTTGGATTTTGTTAGTTATACAAATTGTGAGATGAATGCACACAACACATATAAATTACAAAAGATTAAAAATACCTATGTATTTGAGAAAGCATGAGGGATGGATATAAATTTCCCTTTGTCATCCAAGTATTTCTGATCACTAATTTATTGAGAAGTTAAAAGATCATGGATTTAAGTGTAATCATGAATATAATATAATATTTTAATGAGTTCTACTGCACAATTTTATACTGAATTTGAATCCAAAGCATTTATTTCAAATTTAAGTTTCCCAGCAAAACCTCAAAACCTGAGGTTTTAATCTGATCAAGGGTGTTAATAGAATTTTTTCTAGGTGAGACTCCTAGAAGGCCTTTGCAAGATATTATGGCTTTCTATCTCTTCCTTCTATTGTAGTTCTGTTTTCCTTGTCTTTTGTGGAAACACTCTACATACTTTTTAGCGACAACCAGCCCATTTTTTTACAAACAATTATCCACAAATCTTAAACTAATACCCTCATCATAAATCCAATAATCATGAAAACCAAATACTCAGTTTTCCAAGAATATCTGATAACAGATAATTTTATACTTTGACAAAGGTTTACATCTTGCAAAACTATTTGTGGAATGAAAAAGGAATTCTTTTAAATCATAATATACCACTTTTCACGTGAATACTATGGTAATGCATAATTTATACTAGGATCAAGTCTTTTAGGCTTTTGTATAAAGGCAACGGACTCAAAAGCACATACTTGCAGATCCTTCAGTTTTACTCCAGCAGCAATTGAAACCAAAAGCTTCTTCTTTGAAAGTAATGGCCTTAGCTGCAAGACCACATTTTTAACTGCAAATCACCAAAGTAGAATTTTAGACTAAAAACAAAAGTTTGAAAATGAATCTGAAGATGTTCTGCACCCATACTTTTTTGTTTTTCTTTCTCTTATCTCTTTCTCCACAAATATTTAAGTTCAATATCATGACTGAATTAATTAATGAAAACATTCAAAATCATAGTGCTCTAAGTGTGGTAACTTTACAAGAAATTAAGTATTGAGTGTACAAAAGAGTTCGAGATCAAAACAAAATAGACATGACCATGTTTTGCTACGGTCATTAAACTACCATACCCCATTTTTATTTATAATAAAAACAAAATAACAGATACAAGAGAGCCAGATTCACAGTTCATATTCTAAATTTTTAAACAATTTTCCATCGCACAATCCCCTAACATATTTTTCAAACTTTTCTAAAGGAGAAAAAGATGTATCACAAAGTTCCAGCATTTCATCAAAAAAATTGAGAAAAAGTACCTATTGCAAGAATGGTATTGACATCCCTAGAACTTCAAAAACAAAAAGGGAAGAGCACACAAGCAGTGAAAAAGGAAGCACTGCAGGGAAGAGCATTACCTACTTGGGGTTTCACAGAAAAAATGACCACATCACTATGCTCCACAACCTGGTTTCAAATATTCATGACTTGGATAAGAAACAAAATAAAAAGAGAAATGACATTAAAACTTAAGAGTGCATAAAGCTTAAGGATGACAACTTCTATTATTTTCTTTCTTTAATTAATTCTTTAGCAACCAATTTTTATTTCCTCCCAATTCCAGGTACAAACAAATATCAATAAAACTAGTTTGTTGTCTTTGCTATTCGCTTTTCACTTGGTAGAAAGCTAAAATGTAAACGCCAATGGTTAAAAGTAAAATCACAATGGAGAACAAAAAACTAAAATGAAAGATGAGTTCTAACATAATTACTTGGAATTAAAGTAATCTCACGTCTTTCTCCTCTAAAAATGTTACAATTTAAATTTTGCTAAGCATCAAAACATTATTTACTTTTGCATCCAAGTACCATTTTGGCCTCAGAGTAAGTCAAATCGTCAAAAACAACTTGCTTCTTTGGTCTTCTTTTTTAGTGCGATTTACTTTTTCTTTTCAACAATCTCTCGGAAAAGTAATAGGCAAGAATATATAGCAAAGCATTGGTTAAAAATAAACATATATTTAAACATATATGTCTCATATCCAAAGAACCAAAGATCTAATTTCTTTGTACTTGACCGGAAATAACTATTTTATTTTAATCATTCAAAATAGTAAAATAGTCAATGTAACAAAAGGGAAGGAGATAGAAATATACGTCGGAGTTGTGAGGAAGAAGGGAGACTCCGAGTGATTGAAATGCGATGCCGCGATGGGGATTTGAGTTGATTGCTGTAGAAATACGTTGGGGAGGCAAAACACCAGATTGCACCACTCCTCTGGCTATGCTCTCTGCCATTTTCCCTGCACCGATGAACCCTAGATTGAAGCTTTCACTCTGTATAGGCGCCGCCTCCATTGCTACGGCGTATTCTCTGCTGGGCCCTTTCGTGTTTTAGTCAAAAAAGGACTTCTTTTTCCTTGGACGTTCTCTTTCCGGTATACTTCTGTTCGGCCCCTTTGAAATCTACTATTTATTAACTAATTTGAATTGAGTTCAATGACCCGTACGAAATTTTAAAATTCTTTAGGCTATAAGTGTCTTATTATGTTATCACTTAGAGTAACAATGTCTTTTAATTTTTATTATCATTCGAAAGAGAGAATTGGAGAGAGAAATAAAAGAAAATTTTTATTTGCAGGCATAATTTTACTCGCTATAGCTATTCTTTTTTTCAAAATTACCTTTGTAATGAATTATATTATTTTAATAAAATTATTTTGTAATCTTATTTTTTAGTAAATTTGATCATTTATATATTTATTTTGTGTAAAATATTAATAATTTATAAATAATTTTTTAAATTAATAAAATAAATTATTTGATATTTTGAGTAATATTTTCAGAATTTAAAGGAGGAGTTTAGGGACGACATTAACACGATAAAGTCTTAGATCCTCCCACGTGGGAACTACCAATCAGAGACAAGTCAATTTCTTAATCCTCAAGTTCTGCTAAACGGATTCATTTCTCTCGACTCTCTTAACAACCAAGTCCCCAAAAATCTATAAAATAGAATTAGAAAACTAAACTAAAAGAGGGAGAAAAAAGGCATAAAATATCAAGCTATAAGCCCGGAAAAAATTTGTGGATAGCACAGTGACTGTTAATTGAAAAATGGAAGCGAAGATAGGGAAAATTTTCGAATCGGTCGGCTCCTTCTTCGGTGGTGGAGATCAGATCCCCTGGTGTGACCGCGACATCATTGCTGTAAGTATACTTTCAAGTTTTCCATTTATTCTTTGAAATTTTATCAAATTCAAATTGGATGAGTAGTAATTTTATGCTCTTTGATTGCTCACTGATCTGTTAAATTTATCGTTTGGGGTTTGATATTATTTTGGCATTTGGTTTTGACTGTGGTATTGGTGGAAGGGCTGTGAGAGAGAAGTTGCTGACGCCGCTAAGGGTGATTCCGAGGAACTGAAGAGCGAAAGCATCATGCGACTTTCATGGGCACTTGTTCACTCGAGGCAAGCTGAAGATGTACAGCGTGGGATAGCCATGCTTGAAGGTCACTTATTTGACACCATCTTCCCTATCTTATGGGTTTTCTTAGTATTGTTGTTTAACATGTTAATGCTTGTTTTTTTTTTCATCGCATGTATTTTTTCTTAGTAATAGTTATCCAATGTTGTCAATATAAATATTTGTCAAAAAGTACTCAAGTTGATAACTTTATTCTAGTTTCATAGGTGGTCTTTCTGTTTGGACACTTTCCTTTCTTTTTGCCTTCTAATTTCTTTGACTATTTGTAGATTGTTATCTATAATGAAGTTTTTTAACTGGTTTATAATCGCAAGTTAACCAATATCAACTATATCCTTGACTTGACTATGCTTTTTCTCTAAGCCTCATTCGGGTTTCTTTGTTACTTTGTGTTCATAATCATGGATCCTTGTCATGCTAATTGTCTTCAGAATGCTTTGTTTAGCATTTCCATCACTGCTGCTTATGCATCTGTCTAATATCTTCTATGCAATGTATCTGGATACAAGAAGTAACTATTACCCCTTCTCTACGAGTAATTAAAGCATTAAACTTTTCAGTAAAAATACTAAATGGGTTACTCTGCCGCCATCAGGTCTAGCTCCATTTATGGTCCTTACCAATTCCCTTTGGTGGACCACTTTGTTATTTGAATATATTCTTACTCTTTATTTCCTAGGTGATATTAATGTGTTGCTTTGAGTATTAAGCTTTATTTATAATCTTATGGGCAAGGCACAAAGTGAAAAAAAAAGTTTTTCTTTGCAGCATCATTGGCCAATAGCAGCTCTCCATTGCAGCAGAGAGAGAAACTTTATCTTCTGGGTGTTGGATATTACAGAACTGGTGAATGCTCGAGGAGTCGACAACTTGTGGAGCAGTGTTTGGTGGTTTGTCTTGTGTACCCTTTTCTATTTACAAATAGATTATTGGTGGTTATGCATCTCACCTAGACTGGATGTTCTTCTTGGCCCATACTTTTTAAATGCTAAATGCCCATAAAACAAGAGAAACAAGGTAATGAAGGACAGTTGTTTGAGGGATAGAGGAAGGTAATGGCAAGAGAATTATCTGTTAACTGTCATAATCAGTGGAAATTCTTAACATTAATATCTATGCCTATCTTCAATCAACTCAACGAATTGGTTTAGTACCTAATTTAGATAATTTTCATCTACAAACTGGAACCCTAGAAAATCAAAAACTGAAAAACTGAGCCTGAAATAAACCGAACCTGAACTTGACCCGGACACAAAATGCTTGTTAAAATGGTTACATTTTCCATAAAATTTAAAAAAGTGACCTGACTAACTTGAACTGAAATGATCCAATCCGAGCCTACCTGATTGCCACCTTTACTTCATGGCAACAATCCTGGTAGCATGACTTACTTCCTAGCTCTACTGTGTGGCATTTTTTTTCAGGGCAATGCTAGCTATGGAGTCTGTATGTGTGTGTGTGTGTGTGTGTGTGTGTGTGTTTAATTCATTATATGTTTTCTCTGGGTTAGTGATTTAAATTCTTTAGTGTTTGCCATTAAGCATTTTTTATAACACTGTTTTGACTTGCACAGCATGATATTGTGGGCATGTGTCTTCTGTGTTAGAACTTTTTATTTTGTTTTTATTAGTCCAACCCCACCTGATGCGGTGTGCATTCCAAAAACATTTTGTTGATAAAAATGTTTGTTTTTGGTGATTTTTTTTGTTTCCGTATTATGCAACTACTGGTTTTGTAGATTGCACCTGATTGGAGGCAAGCTCTTGCCCTTAAAAAGGCAGTTGAGGATCGCATTGCTAAAGGTGATAGCTAGAATTTTGTTGCAAATTCGAAAGTTGATTATAGCATAGACTGAATGAATTATGAGTATATTTTGTGTTCATGCAGATGGTGTTATTGGAATTGGCATCACTGCTACTGCTGTGGGACTTATTGCTGGCGGAATTGCCGCAGCATTGGCTCGCAAGAAATGATAAACAAAAAATGTGCATTTGTGCATATCGTTCACATCTACAGATTTGTCCCCCAAGCATTTTGCAGCTTTTCCCGAAGAAATGTTTTGAATAATTGATAAAAGTAAAGTTTTAGCATCTATTAGATTGCCAATGATTACTATAAGCGGTTTTGATCCAATTTGGCCTACCTAGCTGATCCGTTAATACTTATAACCATGGCCATCTTGTAAATGAGTTTTTTTTTTTGGCATTTTGCAGTTTGCTATCGTGGTGATAATGCTTGAATTTTCTATCTGTGAAAATATATTCTATCATCTGTGAAACTGTAATCATACCTATTATTGTATGGTGATGGTGCTTTTAATTATGTTTAAAAATTAAGTGTAGTTAACAAAGATGCAGAATGGCAGTGTGATGTCGGCATAAGAGAAAATCGTTCGCCGACCATGTTCATTCCAATTATATATATATATATATATATAGATATATATATGTGTGTGTGTGTATGTATATTATTATTACAACCAGTTTTGCTCACATGTTGCTGTTTTGTTATATTTGTCGAATGTGAAATAAATGAATGAATAAACCATAGACCATTAAATTTCCTCTTCTCTCTGGTTGATGAAGGAACCTATTCCAGCCCCAATTTTTTAAAACTAAAAATATTAGTTCTTTCACGTGTTGCTGTGTTATGTAACATGAAGCCAACCCAGATAAGGTTGGGGAAAAACTTAAAATACAGCTGCAGTTTCCCATAGGAAGATTCAAAAAGGACATTGTATTGCAGCATCACCAGACGCATCGGTAAGTAACATGTGACTCGATGATTTCGCCACCATAGGTAACTTTGACCACCTTACCCCTTTCAAAACCATAATATCTTGCAATGGCATCTTTCTTCAATAGTCGAGGAAGCTAGAAATAAATATTAAATCAGATGCCAAGAATTAGTGACTTCAACCAATAAAGCCTACCAAAAATAAAATATACATACAGTTATACACAAAAAATAAAGATGCAATTTTTCTGTCATGCAGTTACCATGAAATTTGGTACAGGTTTAAATCTTCAGAGCAAACATCACATATATGACATATGCACATCATTTTAGTGCTTTTCAATCTGAATCCTGTTGTTGACTTGTATACGGAAAATTCAACCAAAGCTCTTTTAATGTTTTGAGACTAACCTGTTTCTCTTCTATACTGTACTTCTGCAACAGCCTTTGTTTCTCTTCTTCTGTCAATACCTGATGCTTGGGCTTTAGCACATGCTTCGTAATATTAACAAGTAAGTCAGTGATCTGAGGACCAAGAAAGACAAGGGGAGATGTTAGGGGTGCAAGATTGTTAGAACAAGTTGCATATTAGATGAGACAAAACAAGTTGTCATCCCACGTCCACACTTGCCAAATTAAACCATAATGGATGCAAACAACTAATTTCTTTACCTAACATACAGTGCCATGTAACTCCTGTCTCAAAAGTTACAAATTTATCCGTCTAAGATTAGACAAGTAATACATATTATCATAAGATGGAACAATAATGAGAGTTATTAACCAATTCCTACAAACTAATAATGCTGTACGCTTACTAGCGTTTTCTTCCTTCATATGCTAATTTTAACTTAACCACTAAGTCCTCGACTGCCACAACAAGTAGACAAACGAGATCAACTTAAGCACATTTCCCCTTCCTTTATTAAACTAGTTTTAAAAAAATAATAGCAAATAATATGAAACAAACTCACACACACACACACACACCCAGAAGCATTAGTTTGTCAAGAAATCAATAGATGTAAATGTATGAAGCACGGACTAGGGCATGGGCCATATGTGCATTATGGAGTGGACAGAAACGCAGCAAATTTCACGACATGAAAGGCCTAGATGCCAAAGCATCAAGTAAGAAAACCTTTTCTTGTAGTTGAATTTACAAAACCAATGTCAATGGAAATAACACAGATATGACTCGTATTAGAAATTTCACCTGGAATATCTCCACTTTAAATGAGAAAAGGTCCAGAGCTTTCAAAGCTTGGTTTGTTATGTGGTTTTGCAAGATTAATATCAACCCAGTCAAACTTTCTTTGTTAGTAATTAGACCAGCAATGAGCCTAATCCCACTAACTTTGACTGTACCAGGCCCATAGAAAACTACCAGCACCTGCTAGGAAAAAATCATTCATTAAATTGCAGATCACAATGATTAAAGAATAGAGAAACACTTCTCAAGACAAAACTAACAGAAATTAACAAGGTAAAATTGGCACATTAATACAAGCATAGACACTAATTCAGCCTTATTTTATAAAGTTTTTGAAGCAGAAATAGCATGCAGTGTTTGATACTTCAGCTTCGTTATCAGTTAATCTACATTAGTTTCTGAGCTATGCTCAAATTTCATAAGCCTAAAAACTTCAAGTAATACTTTCATGTTATGTTGGGAAAGATGAATTTGAGATGGTGGATTTGTATTTGATTTGTCATATAAATTGCGAGAATGAAATGCACACACTATGTACAAATTAGTTGAGATTCAATATGACTACATATTTGAAAAGGTATAAGCAGATGAATTTCAAATTCACAAATACCTATAGTTATGTCAAATACACCACTTAATAGGCATCCAACAAATCCATGAATTTAAGAATAATCATGAAGGTCCTGTTTTATCACATAATTTATACTAAATTTGAAATCCAAATCCTTTTTCTTAAATCACTGTTACCAAATGCAACCTAAAGGAAATAGCAAACTCAATAAATGCTGCAGGTGCAGCCATTGTCATTAAATGAGATATCGATCTCACTAAGAAAAGCTAATTTGCCACAAAAACAAATTTCTTCAATTTAATACTAAATCAAAGAAGTTTCCTGCCTCAAAGCAACCAATTTGGTGGTATTGTGGAAGCACAAGACATAATTATTAACATCGCATGTCAGTTTGGATGCACAGAAGCCAATCATTAACCGAATCTATTGCAACTATAAAATAACCAAACATGATCATGTATAGTGGCTGGATCAGGACATCAATGGAAAACCACAACGTCAATATGTTGAAAGGGAGGTCAGTGCAGATTTCAAAAAGAATTATATGGATCATTGCCAACTGGGGTTTGCTCAGGTGGTCAGCTGGCCAGAGATCTTAAATTCAAGCCGTAGTGTTCATGTCAAGCAAACACATGACAGTGGCAACTAACATCGAAGTCAAAAGGAATAAAGATTCAAAGAAGTTCAATCCGCAAGCTTCCATCCAAAACACTAACTCTGATACATGTTATGCCTAGTTCATACATTTCTTCTACTGAACTTAAAACTTCCAACAAAAAAAATTTATAGGTGGTGGAGAGAGAGAGAGAGATTATCACTGATTCTAACAAATTAAACACTCCATGAGTGAAGAAAAGTGCAGGAATATAAACTAAAACTAATGCTTGCCAAACTCAGGTGCCATTGTTTGTAACTAGCAGGGTAAGGGCATTAATGACGTATACCAAATTAAAAACAATTTATGACAGGGTTAAAAACTGATTAATCATCCAAACTCAAACTGTCGGAGAGGAAAATTGTATGGAACAAGTTTAAGGAACATGCAATAAATTGAGACCTATCTAATCATGCAATGTATATAAAAATGAGGAAACAGCAAGCAAAACATAAAGCAAAGCCAGGAAACACAAAAAAGCATTACCCGCTTGGAAGGGTCAGTTTTATGACTAACAGAGATTCTAAGACGATCAAAATCAAGGCTTTGGCCATGAATGGCTCGAAATTCTTGAAGGGAGAGGTTGAATTCAGAGATGGGTACGGCATAGCCTCTGTCCCTCAGCATCTCCAGCACAGTTCTTCGTGACAGGTAGTATCGGTGACACTCCGTGCTACCATCGTCCACTAACCCACTCAAGCAATTCGGCAGGGCTTGTCCGTTTGATCCATCTCCTTCCAACCCATTCCCATTCCCTTCCATTTTTCTCTTTACTTCAGTCTATGTATTTAGACAGACAACTTAACTATGCTTTGGTTTGGCTCCTCTCAGAAGACAGAAGTCTTTGTTTTGACGGGACGAGGGGTGATGCAGATGGCATTGGCAGATGTTGTAGTTTTGGATTTAAAATCTTAGTCCAAGCCGAAGCCAAGAACGAACTAGGCTAAGGGCCTTGATGAATGGCCCAAACCCATTCATTGAATGCAGCGCACATGCGCGATTATTTTTACGATTGTGGGGGACGCATCCGACTGTCCACTGTTTCGATTTTCTGACCTGCCTTGATCATTACTCCTTTGCTGCATTTCACTCTTGATACATAATGCCACTCTGCTTCCTACCTGTACTCTGCAACGAACAGAATTCAGACCCCCATCGTTGCTTTGCCAACCATGCTAAGTAATATATTTGGCTGCTTTCAACAGGACAACAGCATCCCCAGATGAATTGGCAAGAACTAATTTTTAGTTTTGCCTATTTGTCAGACTACAATTCACTGGCTTATAATGAGGTTCATTCATCAGCTTTGCTAATTATCTATGTGCTTCTAGCTTCCGTTGAGACCTCTTTCTACAAATATTCGTAATGAAGACATGTGTCAATTTGAAATTAGCCAAGTTTAATCCTGTTAACAGGTTTAGACCTGGTTGAGATACACTAAAAATTATGGCACCAAAATGAAACATTTGAAACTGGTGTGAAATTGCAACTAAATCAAGTAGGTGATGAATTAACTTTCTCACAACTAACATACAAACAGACACACAAGAATTAAGTGTTACAGTTATATTCATACAAGACATACATACATATGCTTCACAAACTTCAATAATTGGATCATGAGCATCGAAACTGTCATTTTTTTTTATTTCATACAGCTCAATGTAGGCAGACCATAAAGAAACTAGTACCAAACAAAACCCTACTACAAATAGCAATTCGAGGAATTAGTCAAACCAGAAACATTCTTTTTTATCAACTTCAATCACAAATAAAGTATAAAAAGTATGCATCCCCTAATTAGCATTGGCTAATTAGTTATCATAAGCAACAACCAGGACACCTTATTAACCCGTTCTCATTGCATTCTGGGCACCTTCTCAACTTTGCTTCATCTTCCTCAAACACCTTTCTGCTTCCATTACAGTTAGGACACGGCACAAACCTTGCATCCCCACAACCTTCACAAACGATTCTAGGATCTCTAACTGGAAATCCCTCCAAAAGCTTTGCCAATTCTCCACTCTCATTAAGCTGTTTAATCTCTTCTACCCCACCAACTTGCTTTCCCCTGATGAACACTTGTGGCAAACAAATCACTTTCCCTCCAAGTAGACTTTGCAACTCGTTTCTATACATAGAGTCCATTGAGATGTCCCTCTCATCTACTGGCACTCTAAATCCCCTAAAAATCATTCTAACTGAACAACAATCCTCATAAGTCTTTCTTATTCCTCTTAAACTTGTAAAATATAATACAATTCTGTTTTCGGTTCTTGGCACTCTAAACCAACTATCAGATAATGAAGAACATGAAGGACTAGAGCCCACAGTTATCGTACTTCTGGACTCATTGCTTCCTAACTGCCTGGAAGATAAGGCTCGTCTGTAACTTGAAACCACATTTGGGTCAAGTTTTGATAACAATGATTCTTCAGATAAATGTTTCCATAATGGCTTTGTCAATGATGGCTTAGTAGGTTTATCATCCTCACATGTCTTTACAGGCACATCAAGACCCTTGCAGCTAAAGGTGTTAGATTTTGATGAAAGCTCCTTGGTACGAGTATTAACAAAAGAATTAGGCTTACCCAGATCAAAATCACAGTCATCATCAAGCCCATCCATGAGCTCCCAAGTGTTGATGACAGAATCTGGAGACAATGACTCCTTTTCCTGAACCGGTGAGTCCTTCTGTTGTTGCGGTTGATTTAGTTGATGATCAGAGAAATCCCGACTTTTCATTTCAGATGCTTTTGTGTCAATGACTAGGAGAGAGCCATATGTAGTAGATGTTAAAGAGACGAGGTGGTGGGTATCGCCTTTCCTCAGTGGTGGGTGGTGAACAAGAGGAGTGGACAGTGAAAGAGCTCTAGGAACTGGTGGTGATGAAGAATGTGAAGAAACCATGGATTCTAGAGAAGAGCAAGAATATGGATCTTCTGGAGAATTATGGCTTTTGGTGAAAAGAGTAGCGTTGGGTCTTGAAGCGGAACAGCCCATGACTGAAGAATCTTTAGCTTCTCCCACACTACAGACTTTTCTTTTGCCTTTTCTATGTTAATCAGCTGATGCTTTTTGGACCATGGGGTTGGAGTTCATGGCTTAAAGAGAAGGCTTTTCTTTTTCTTTCTAGTTCTGCTTTTGGACGGGGAAAGAAAGGGAAATGGAGAAAGGGAATTCTAGCGGTAGATTGGGTACGTTTCTGAAGGCTTAGAGGGAAAGGCAGAGAAAGAGAGAGAATGGTCTTGGTGGGAAAGAGCTGTCAAGAGAGTTGAGAGTGGGAGATGGTGATATTAATGCAGTTTGGAAGCAGAAACAAAAGGCGGTTTTGTTTTTAAACTTTGAATTGATATAATGATGATAATTTGATGTACCAATACTTTAGCAGTTTGCAGAAGACAGCAGATGAAGTTCGGATTGAGACAAACACTCTCCTGCTAGATTTGGAGTTCTTTTAAGTTAATTTTATGAAATTAAACACTGTTTCTTAGCTCAGACTTGGTAATTTGGGAAACTTACAAGGATGAATGAGGTAATTTTCCATGTTACCATATACTATTTTTTTGATGGCATGTCACAATCTCTTGGTTTGGTTATTGTACTCAACTAGATCTTGGCCATGTGAATCCATTAAAGCATATCTTGATACTGAGGAAAGCCAATCGCTTTCACTGCCAGCCTCGTTGTGTTTTCTGCATCATCATTTCTTCCTAAGATTTTTTTTTTCCTTTTCTTCATAATTTTTGCGAGATTTAATCCCATTTACACAAAAACATAGTCCATTAACAACAGGTTTTGCTAACAAGTGTACAAAGGTACTTGTTTTAGTATTATTTACAAAAATATTTTCATATTGAATATAGTAATATAATTTCATATTTCCATTAAGCACTTGTTTTAACTTTTTGGGTTTTAAATTTTGTTTATAAAGTAGATGGGCATATGTACCTGAGGCAAAAGCAAAAAGGGTAATTGCCCAGGAGAATACAATTATTCATGGCATTTTACTAATGGGTAGGCCCAACAAGACATTGCTTTTAAACTAAAACCATGATCCAAGCTGGAAGATTTCAACACCCAAGGCCCAAGCCCAAGTGATGTTGCAAGAAATCCATCATGCAATGCAAGTAACGGCTTGATTAAATTCACAATAATATTTCTAATTCTCATGAAAAATAATAATAATAAATAAATATGTTAACAGAAAATATAATTCAGCATTTTAACTTACATTTATAAAGATTAATTTTATATCTTAATCATTTTAATAATCAAATTGATGAATTTTACTATGTTAAAATATGTCTGTCAACTGCAAGCTACGACCCAATAGGTGTGTAAAAAGGGGAATACTAAGGGCACTCAACTTTGTCAGCCGCTGTTTGGCACCCGTTTTCTCAAAAAGCCACGTTATGCTATTTTTTTTTTTAAAAGTTACAACCGGAAACTTTGTTTAGCAAGTTGTTAACTTGCTAAATGATATTTACCCTTCTGTCAATGAAAATATACGATAGTATAAAGACAGAATTATGTAAAGAGGTAGCTTTGTAGGATAAATAAAGAGAATTTTATTCTTCTTTGACTTAGAGATAACATATATATATATATAAATTTTTTTTCTTTTATCGTATATATTTTTTATTGGCATATCTCCTTTTTATTTTATACTAAATTCATTACAAATTCATTTTTTATTTAATTGAATAAAGATAACATATAATATTTATATAAAGATAACGAATAATAACAAATAACCTCATTTATATCTCTTTCCATAATATATACCGTTCTTATAAATGATGATCCCATAAAAAATTCAATCATGATGTTGAAATAAAAATTCTCTATTCTAGTTCAATTATGTTTAATTATATGTGAAATATGTTTTTTAGACTCTTTCAAAAATTTCAAAACAAGATAATGGCACATCAAATTTTACTTTTATCAACATCAATTTTAATATCAATTTTATATTAATTTTGAGTTATTTTTGAATTAAATCTACTTTTTTAAAATTACTTTTGATAAATTAAAAAGAATCTTATATTTATTTTATTAAAATTACTTTAAATCAAATCAATTACTTTATATTTAATCATAGATCCAATATCATTATTAAGGTTCTATTAGGGTACTATTTATTTATTTTTTCATTGTATAAATTTATAACTCTTTCGAGAAAGTATAGAGTCACCCTACTTTTCTAAAAAGCTCACCTTTTGTAAGAAATTTTTTTTTATAAAATATGTTTAGTTAAAACCTCTACTCTTTTTAGTAATTATTTTCTCATTCTTCAATAGTTAGGTTTATAATCAGAAACAATTTTTTTTATATCATGATTTGCAATAATACAAATTAAATATACTTTACAATTACTATAATATCGTAGATCTTTTATATCAAAAAATTTTATAAAATTATTAAATAAATTATTGATTTACCAAGTCAAAAAAAATTATTTTATCAAAATTTTATTAAAATAAATTATTATAGTGAAAGACATGTTTTCATAAAAATCAAACTATCAATTCGACGTTATATCAAGAGAATGCTTAATCTTGAATACTGATTAAAATATGTTAATTATATATCTAAATTATAAATTATTTATGTTTAATATTTTCTTGATGTAAGCAATTGACGCTAGTTAATTGCAATCAAAATTACAATTACGATCAAACCATACTTCTAGAAAAAAACAAAAAAATGAAACCAATAGTCAACAACTAAAAAACAAATGTAAAATTAGGTGAAACTCACACTTGGTGACAAAGAACTGTCATTTTCATCATACACTTATGCAATATATAAGTTTTTAAAATTCTATTATAACTTACACAAAGTTTAATATCTTTCACATGAATCCTTAAAATAAGAAGTGAGTGTGTGAAATGATTGTATAAGATGAGTGGCTGTAGAGCACTGTCATAACATTATATATTATCTTGTATCAGTTGCTTATAATTAATCATTTGATATTTCTCAACCATAAAAGAAAGGCATGTTTTCGTTAAAGCATCCTTTGCTGAAGCTCCAATGGCTCGTCTTGGCAACATCTATGGTATCAGCTTTAGTAGCTGTGGAAGGACAACCCAAGGCGCCTAATCACTGCAGTTCCAGTTGTGAGCATCTTAAAATTCCTTACCCTTTTGGCGTAGAAAAGGGATTCTATCAAAAGGGATTTCGCATTACTTGCAACACTTCCAAAAACCCAGCAAAAGCATTTTTAGGTTCTACAAAATATGAGGTTGTAAACATTTCTATAGCTGAAAATCAGGTACGAGTAAGGAATTCTGTCCCTGCATCTGTGGCTCATACCTGCTTGCAACTCAATTGATCTGAAACTGATGGACAGACAACCATGATTAATTTGACTGATAGTCTGATACTCCATTCGCACTGTCTCAAAACAAGTTCATTGTCACTGGATGTAACTCTGTGGGCACGATCATGCTTGGAAAGAGAGAGTTTTTAAGTGCGTGCATCTCTTTGTGTCACAGGAAGCGCGAGGATAGGACCAACGGATCTTGCTCTGGGATTGGGTGCTGCCAGGTCACTATTCCTAATCGTCTTAAATTAGTTGAAACGTATGTGAATAACTTTTTCACCAATGAATCAGAAACAAAGGAAGTGCTTAATGAAACAAAGATCTCGGTGCCCTATCGTTGTGGATCTGCTTTCTTAGTGGGCCAATACAACTATAGTTTCGAGGCATTTGATCTTGATGATGATCATAAACTTTTGACTAAGATACAGCATTCTACTGTGGTATTGGACTGTGAGCAACCACACTTGCGAAGAATCTCAAAGAGACTTGCTCACTTATGCTTGCTGGGGGAATAGCCACCGTGTGGATTACAAAGTAGAGGGTAGTCAAGGCTATAGCTGCAGTTGCAACAAAGGTTACCAAGGGAACCCTTATCGTAGTCAGGGATGCCAAGGTATGGCTTGCTTATTATTCCGTATATGCTACTCAATTCTTTCATCACCCTTGTTTAACATCGTCTATAATTAATCTTTTTAATATTCTAAATGCTGTTGAAGTTTGAGCATATAACCAGTACATCATGTTTCTGTAAATTTTTTTTTTTTTAATTTCCACTATAAATTAATGCTCATGTTTTCCCCATAATACTACCATATACAAGTCAGTAACCTATATATATATATATATACTGATGTCATTTGTTTTATTTGGGGAAAGACATCGATGAGTGCATTAACAATCCGTGTGAAGGCAATCATAAGTGTATTAATACACCAGGAAGTTATCATTGCAAGCAATTTCTTTCTCAGCTGCTCCTGCTTGTTCTAGGTAACTATATAACTCAACACACCGTTTTGCTTTATTTCTTTTTTGTTTCTTTTCGAGGAAGAGCTCTTAATATATATATATATATATATATATATATATATATATGATTAATTCATGCAGCTTTCGTCAGTGTTTTGGTTCTGCTTCTGTTAGTCTTTTCCATATACTTCTTCTTGAAGAGAAGAAAACTAATCAAGCTCAGAGAAAAGTTCTTTCTTGAAAACGGGGGACTATTATTGCAGCAGAAAAATCCTTTCCGTCAAAGTGCTGTTGAGACAACAAAAATTTTCACGGCCAAGGAGTTGGCAAAGGCTACCGACAATTATTCTAAGAGTCGAATCCTCGGCCAAGGAGGGAATGGAACAGTCTATAAAGGTATCATAGGAGACAATCAAATAGTTGCTGTCAAGAAGTTGAAAATAGAGGCTCGTTCCCAAATTGAACAATTTATCAATGAAGTTGTTGTTGTTAGCCAAATCAACCACCGAAACGTAGTCAAGCTCTTGGGATGTTGTTTGGAGACTGAAGTCCCTTTACTGGTCTACGAATTTGTCCCCAGTGGAAGCCTTCACTATCACATTCACAATTCCGAGAAGGCAGGCTCAATCTCCTGGGACATCCGTCTAAGCATCGCCACAGAAACTGCTAGCGCACTTGCTTACCTTCACTCTGCAGCCTCGATTCCAATCATCCATCAAGATGTCAAATCTGCCAACATTTTACTCGATGAAAATTACATTGCCAAAGTGTCAGATTTCGGCGCTTCAAGGTTGATTCCCATCGATAAAACTCAAATAACTACATTAGTCCAAGGTACATTTGGTTACTTGGACCCCCAATATTTCCAGACAAGCAAGTTGACAGAAAAGAGTGATGTTTACAGCTATGGGGTTGTGTTAGTGGAACTACTCACTGGCGAGATGCCAGTATCTTTTGCAAGACCAGAGCCTGAAAGAAACCTTTCTTCTTACTTCATTTTATCAATGCAACAGGATCGTCTCCTCCAGATCCTAGAGCCGAACTTGCAAACGAGGAGAATAGAGAAGAACTGATAGCTGTTGCCCACCTGGCTATGAGATGTCTGATGTTGAGGGGGGATAAAGACCTTCAATGAAAGAAGTGCTTATAGAGCTGATAGAGTTGAGAAAACTTGAGAAACATCCATGGGGTCAAGCTAACTGTGAGCAGGCTTTGAGCTTGTTACATGAACAAGCAGAATTATACCCGACTCAGAGTTCATCATCAAATACTAAAGACAGTGGCACGCCGACAAACCTGTCACTTTCATTAGACACCCCAGGATGATGAGCATCCACAAGATATAGATTTTTTGTACGTTCTGTTGCTTTGTATAATTTGGTGAACCTATATTATTTTTTATGATACCTAAACCTTGTTGTTGTTGTCTACGGAGTTTGCTTAAGTGTTTCAGACTTAACCATTTGGTATTAATTATTTAAGACAAGTTCATAAAGGTTTCTAACAAGTTTATAGCAATTGGTAGGCATTTTCATAAGAATACTATTACATATATATATTATGGTTGCATCAAATATAGCAACACAAACGTAATGGTAGTTGGATTAATCCTAATACCAATTAACAGAATACTCACATTATCAAAACACAGTAGTATAAGTAAGATGTGAAGCTGACCACCTTCCATCAATGCCACAAAACCTGAAGAAATATTGTGTTTCTGTACAATGTAAGACGTTCATACCTCCAGTAGTCCTATCAAAGAAAAAGGCCAAACCATGCAGCTTTCTGCTACAGCCGGACTAACATTACGAAACTGAATTGATACTTTTCAACATACTGGAAATAAGAAAACCGATAATCTAGATGTACAAGCCACAGCAACCAGTGAAATTAAATATGGGTTTTTCCATTTGGATCCCCAGTTTCCTTGTCCAACTCTCCATTCCCTATAGAACTTCTAATTCATCTTGTTGGTTTGTCCTGCAAAAGATATAAATAAGAATGTTATCTTTTAGACCAAGATAGTTGTAAAACTCGAAGCAAATACAAATCTTTATACCACAATGAAAACAATTAACAAAAACAACATTTAGGACATTAAATTCGTTCATCTAGTTTCTTCCATTTAGTTTCAATTAATTCATTGATTGAGAATAAATCCAATTCATCAAGGTCAGTCCCATCACAATAAGTACATTTAAGCCACACATGCCTTGAATTTTTTAATTTGTACAGTCTTAACCAGAAAACAGCCAGTGGTAATGAGCAACTCAATTTGTTACAAGCTTACATAAGAATGTAGAGCAGTACTTATATAATAATATATACTAACAGGGTAACTTAAAATGGGTATTATTAGAGAGCTTATCCATCATAAACCAACAGCAATTACTCAACAAACTAAAAAATAGCCCAAGGAAACCATGGCTGATTTAGACTATGCATCAGACAGAAACTTCAGCCCATAATACATTACCTAGATTGTACAACTAGGATGACAAACCATTAGATCTAAGAAACATCAGATTAGCAGATAACTCAAGAAAAAAATGAAAGATTACTAGAATCTTGCAGCTAGATAACAGCTGACAAATAAATCTACAAAATTAGATAGATATGTTAGCTTCCTACAGGTGTAGTTTGAAAGTTTCAAATATGTAATATTAGGACAAAAAAAAAGGATCGGTCAAGAATCATTTTCATTGGTGAGCAATAAACTTGTCTAACTTTATGATATTAGGAATAGTAAATGAAAGCTGTTTAAGCATCTCAAAAGGGGTTTCTTTTATATACTTCTATGCAAAATGAAAGCTATCAGTGATCAGCATTCTAGTATATCTCTGGTGCGAATTTCAGAATCAATACCTTTGCGGTCGGATTGCACACAATTTGCCACGGATGGGGACACATCCCAACCTTATCTCGAACTCTATCCATTTCTATCCCCACTATATCCTCTATAGTTTATTTATTAATTAAATTTGTAAGTTTCCCAGGCTGAATCAAGCAGATAATTTAGTCACAAATTATGCTTCAAAATTTTATATAGTTAGAAACAAAACTGAAAGGATTAAATGGGACGAAATGAACGAAGTTTTCTTCAACATACAAACTATCAGCAGAATAACAGTATAATTATAAAAACTAAGTAGTATTTCAGCATCTTATGAAGAATATAAGCACGGAAGAAACCAGAGCAACAATCAAATAAGGATAAATAGAATATTCAACTCTTATAGCAGACAAAGATTTTCAGAACTAAGAAAAAACAAAAAAAGAACAACCTTTTGATTCTTATCTTGATTACGCATAAGAAAGAAGGAGAACAAGAAGAAAAGAAGTATAATTTGTGAGAATTAGGAAGGAAACAAACCAGAGAAGTGGGTTTGATTGAAAAAGGAAGAAACAGAAAAGGTGAACTTAGCCAACATGGAAGGGACCAATATCACCACTCCTGAGAGAAGCAGCAACTTCATCAGCAATTGTCAAGCAAGAAGAAACCCATCCACTCAGAGCTATCCACACCATCTTTGCCATCCATAGAGTCATGCCCCAAGGCATTGCCATTTCCCTTTTTTTTTTTTTTTTCTTGTGCTTTTCCTTCTGCTTCTTGCTCTGTTTACTCAACAAATAATTATTCTTTTTGTCATTTTTAAAGGAAACCCATTTTGAGGATCAATCAACTCTTTTGATGAAAGAAATACAGAAGGTTGAACAATCAACTTGAGGTGAAGTGAAAGTAAACGGCAAGACTTTGATGTTGTGCCTATCTTTCATTTCTTTTGTACTTTTTCCCTGTGAATGACTCCGTCGGTTGGGGGATTGATTTTCTGACTTTCAGTTGAGACTTGAGACGCACTAACGAATGCAATCTCGCCACCAATAAATGTTTTTCATTTTTCATTTTTTTTTTTGGCCTTTCAATAAATGTTTATTCTAATTGACTTATGTATTTTTATGAAATATTATTTTATATATTTTAGGAGTTTTAAATTTTACAAGCATTGTTTTATTATATTAGTTCATTTTTTTTGAAGTTGATTAATTTATTTTTTTAAATACGCTCTATTACCAGCATGAATTAATTTTATAATCTTATTAGAAATTTTATAGATAGCAAATAAAATAATTTTTTATTTTTATTTCAAATATTTGATATGACATGATGTATAAATATTTAATATATTTAAGGTTTTTTTTTTGCCAATGGCAAATTTAAAGATAAATTTATCAATGCAAAGATAAATTAATTAATTTACAAAATAAAATATTCATAGTACAATAAAATTAATAAATTATTTCACATCTAAAAAATAAAATAAACGTATCTAAACAAATAGTATTTCTTATTTTATTTCACACAACCAAACATAGATAAGTTTTTTTTTTATGTGTAGTAAGAAGTTGGATTATAAACGTAGATAATTTTTTCTTTTCTATCCATAAATGATGTATAAATCTTCCAATTTATTTAAGATTGCAATTCGAAATCGGAAAGTTAAATCGCAAATCTTAAACTGATGTCATTTTCTTTAAAAAAAATCATTTAAAAAAAAATTAACTCGGACTACGTAATATAAAAGTGATATCTTTTCATTTTTAAAATTTCTTCTCTCTCCCCCGCCATCTTATATTAGAATTCGAGATTTTTAAGTATGAATTTCACATTCGTTTTTTTTTTCATTCAAAATTTTAAAATGGTAATTAGGAATTTGTGTGTTTTTCCTATGAAGTTTAAGAATGCAGTGTAGGGGTTATAGCATTTATAAATTCGGAATATAGATAATATAAACCCTAAATGGAAGATCAATGAAGGTACAAGATGACATGCAAAACGTACATCAGGGGAAATGTTGTTAAACTCCTATTCTTCGTGAAGGCATTGAAGAGTAAAATACGAAAAATAAATTACTGTCAAGTGTGCATTGTCACTAAGAGATCATGTCTCTGCATATTACTCATCGTCCTTGTAAGGGTACTCTTCTGGAACTTGCTTCAAAAGTTTCACCTGCAACTCATACGCATCATCTCCTCTAAGCATATCACGTATCCAGGTGACTTCAGTCTTCATTGACACCTGAACAAATGAAGGAATTGCATGGTGAAGAAAATAACAAAGACGATATTGATAGCTTCACTTCAGGCTTTGGCATTAGAAGATAATAAGGCAGCTAAGGTTCGACCAATGACATTAAACAATAATCTGGATCCATATATCAGAAACTTGAAATACCATAACACTTTGAATATAAAAAAAATAGGTTGAACTTTTGTACAACACAAGATAAATTCTTCAAGGCAAAGGTTAAACTGTTGGTAAACATAGAATACCTTTTATCCCAATTGAATTGCAAGTAATTAGAAATGATTTACAGCATATAATACTGAACAAATTCATCACTTTCATTCATGATTATGAAAAAACGATTTAATAATAACTTTACAATAGATAATCACATAGTTCTATCTCTCTAGAGATCATGATGAAAGGGGTGAAATGTTTTAATGTCCTATTAATAGTCATAATGAAATAACATATGGCTAGCATTACCAACCTAACCTTGATAACTTAGATCACACTTCATGAATGAAAAGTGGTACTGAGATTGAGAACATCGATGTACTTTTACAATAGCCACTGCATGATTGACAGTGGCTGACAAAGATCAAAGATGTTTAATACTTCAAATGCCATTGTATTGAACCCACCAAAGGTAAAAAAGGACCACAGTCTTGCAACTATAAAATAGAAGGGGATCAAAGATGTCTTTACACTCACCATCTCTAGGGCTCCTCTTATGACTCCACTTAAGATGTTGCAATAGTAGAGACCTTGACACGTATCAGGCAGCTCTACAAAGTCTACAAGGGGATTATCCTCCAAAACAATGCTGCAACAGGTCCCATCAGCATCCCAGTTCGTAACAGATGCAGTGACCCCAAGAAACATTTTGAAACCCACCTATATAGAAACTTCATTAGGGCTAACAAGAGTTGGGGCCTAATTCATACTTGTTAAAAACAGAACTAAGATGATATTTTAAATGGCTTCGGCACAAATAAATCCAGCAAACATTTCTAAACTAGGCAATGTACAAATAATAATCATAAATCTTTCAAAAGCTCACATTTGTTCATTAAAAGATAAATGATCCATCTCAAAAGGAGAAAAAGGAAAAAAATTAAAGGCATCCTTATGTGTTCATGAAAATGCATATGAACAATCATATATCATTTCATGCACATGTTATTGCCTTCTTTCAGTTAGCAATTTAGATTCCACAGGACAAGTATTAACATACCATCATACATAACAGTCTACTAAAATGAATAGCCAATAATTTAGATCTACTTGAATGAAGAAAATAAATTAGTGGTGCAGCTGACATGCTGTAAAATATGCCCTACTCCGACTAGCATTTTATGAACAGAAGATCAGAGAGCAATTAAGGAACAGATGAAAGAAAATTCGAATCATTATATATAATATGACCATGAAATAAACCTAACAGTAATAGTAGACCTTTGCAATCACTTCCGCTGTCTCCTTAAAGTCAACACATCTGGACACATTAGATTTTGCCAGAAACTCATCAATTAGTCTAATCCCTATATTATAGCCCCTGCATGGTAATCAAAGAAGTTAAGTAGCATGGATTTTGACATCATGTAATCAACTTCTTTACTAAATTACATAAATAAAAAAAACTATCAATACTAAGAAACGCAAGCAATCCAAAATGCATACAATAATCAAGAATAATAAAGTTAAAAAAAGTTAACTAATAGTGCTTGTGAGCCAACCCTTGATGGCATCAAGTTGAAAGATTGCATGGTAGAAACGAGTGTAAGAGATACACAAAGATGCATGCAGAGATGCGTAGATGCATGGCATACACAAAACACGCAGGCACCCAACTGTTTGTATTGGCATAAGGCTTCTATCATGATAAGAAGATAGCATAGCACTATTCAAATACAGTAGTGATTAATGTGCTCATTCTATATAATAAAAAAAAGAGTCAATCACCAGCGAATCCATATGATCAAATAAAATAACAAGCATCATTCTTTCAGAACAATGACATGAAACCCATCATAAAGCATGCACAGATCACGTGATTATAGTAAATAACTATTGAGTGAAACTAAACAAAGTTTGTCGAAAGGGGAGAGTGTACATTTGATCAAGCTGCTTGTTGACCTCCTCAACCTCCTCCAAGTCAGTAAGCAATTGACGCACAATTGCTCCATAAGTTAAAGTGAATAGTTCTGCATTCTACACCGGTTCAAATTCCACATATCAGTAACATATCAGTTATCAACAGCAACACAATCGGCAGTATAATTTCTGTTTGGTAGCCAAAAACTTTTATACAGGTTCTACAAATCAAACTTAGAACAAACAGATCCCTCAAGTCATAAAATTTCTTCCTTTCTCTCTGAACAGTATGATCCGATGCAGGAAATGAGAACAAATCAAACAAAATTGAACCGTCAAAAATTAAATTTCAGGCATATAAAGGTTTTTCTTTTCTTTTGCAATTTTTCAAACGAGAAACAGGAAATGAAAAGAAATCGAAAGGTTCACCGATTTTCCAAACAGAATGAGAAAAAAATAGAGAATTCTAGTTGTGTTTTTTCTTACCACGCGTTCGACGCTGGCGAAGATCGCATCACCGGATCGAGGAGCCGCGGGAGGCATTTTTCTAGAGATCTAATCACTCAAATTCCTAAACTTAGTTCAAACCTAATTAAGAGAATGTTTACGCGAAATTCAATAATAACTTAAACCCGAAATCACAGAATACCTGGAAGTGCTCAAATGGAGTGAGAAGAAGTGAACAAGAAAGCCTGGGGATGTTGCGGTGACCGGAAGAGGCGGCAAATAAGAACGGCTGTGGCTATGGCAGCTGCAGGTGAAAGAGTGAGTTGTGACGATGAAGAAGTCTTCCTTTTTTTTTTTTGCCAATGAAGCGAGTATTTTTCTTTCTTTTTTTTTTCTTTTGTCCTAGATGTAGTATTAATTTGATCAATTTCATTTTTTAAAAAAAGTAAAACTAGATTTGTCACTAAGGTTAGTATTATATTTTATCATTACTTTAATTTAGTTGAATTTTATTAGACATAACCAAATAAACATTTGAACTTTACTCAAAATAAAAATAAGTTAATAATATTTTATTATATAAAATTATGATTGTGAATTTTTATTTTACTGTAATTAATCCTTGATAATATAAAATACTTTGTAAAAAAATCTTACTTAAATCTCGCCAAAACACAATCTTAATAGAAAAACTTTCCATTTAGATAAAAAATTATAATGCTATATAAATTACTTTTTCTTCTTCATTATAAAGCAGGATTTGCTAGGTCAACCTACAAATGACAAATACTTAAAAAAAAAAAAAAATCATTTACTAGTTACTTTTGCATGTGCTCCAAAGTCCAACTGTAGAAAAGCCTTTACTTACCTAGTTACCTTCTTTGAGAGGTTATAAGCGATAAGACATGAGTAGAATTTATTCCAACAACATAATTGTTTTACTCGGTGCAAATATTATTTCTAGCTATGCAACAAAAATTTTAGCTGAAAATTTTGTCACAAAATCTGCTATAAGAATATTCATCGGGGGAAGTCCAATGAAAATGTCGTTGAATTGTGATTGCTATATTGCCTAGTTGGCATGTCACTATGACGATTTACTCTTGATGAACTCTCAGCTGTGTATAAATCCAATGGTTCATCGAGCAAGCCTACAGCCTCCTCATAGTTGACTTGATTCCAACAGTGTTTGTCAATCCCTCTTGACCCTGCAAGCTCTAACACCACTCCTTTCATTGTGGGCCTTTTTTCACCCCTAAATCTGAGACACCTCATTGCAAGATCTGCAACTGCTTTAAGCTGTTCTCTATTCCCTTCGTTTGCAAGCCCAGGCTCAAGAATTTGGGAAAGGTGATCCTGTTGCATTGCTAAAATGAAGTAAGAAGACAGGTTTCTCTGAGCTTCAGGTCTTGCAAATGACACCGGCATTTGTCCTGTTAGTAGTTCCACTAGCACCACTCCAAAGCTATAAACATCACTCTTTTCTGTCAGCTGGCTTGTTTGGAAATACTGTGGATCTACGTACCCAAGTGTTCCTTGAACTAGAGTTGTTATTTGAGTTTGATCAACAGGTATTAACCTTGAAGCTCCAAAATCTGACACTTTTGCAGTGTACTTGTCATCCAATAATATGTTGGAAGACTTAACATCTCGATGAATGATGGGAATTGTAGTCGATTTTCTGATTTTTCTTTAAAATTTTGCCTAATATGGGTTTTTTTTTTTTTTTGCTGATCTAAACTGCGTCAGCTTAAAGGAAATTCTTGATAATGGAGATGGATTTGCTTTCCTTCTGAAACTTCCGAACTCATATCTGTTTAAATTCCATTTTTATGGTGTTCTGGTCATAAAACCCGAATTTTTTTGTTTGATATTTTTTTCTAGATTCTTATTTTTTCCCGCTGTTGAGAAAATTTAGTCAACAAATTGGTTAAGCTGATTTGATTTGCTGAATTATTAGGAAAAAGTGGTTTGCTTTTCTCATTTTTCTTACCATATGTATAGTATGATGTTTAAATTTATTGTTCTTAGCATTTTCAGAGACGTAAGTTTGATTATTCATACATGATTTCAATTATCAAAGTAATTTTATTAAATTTTGTTTCTTCTTTTGGTACAGGGGTATCCTATGATCTGTCTGATAAAGAGCTTTTCTGCATTGAAGAGCAATATGTGTTTGATCGCATGTACTCGTTGGCTCGAGGTTTTTCCAGCCTCTCCCCATCTTGCAAGTTCATTCTTGTGGAAAGTCTTCGGTCCAATCTCAGTGTTCTCCTCCAAAATGTGGATTCACTGATCCGTGTTTCTCAAGGTCAGGATGATGATGAAACTCTGATGCTTGATCGTGTCACTTCATATCGTAATGCTTTTAAAATTTACACATTCTTTCTCCTCCACGTTATTTTGACCGAGGAGTCTAACACTGGTTCTAGTAACAATCCAAAGGTATAACCCCCGCTGCCCTTTTCCTCCCTTGCTATATTATTGCCATTGTTGGTGTTATCCTATGTTTAATAGTTTTGGTTGGTAATTTCTTCAGGTGACAGCTAGTAGTCGTAAGAAGCAACCATTAAACTCATTGAAATGGGAGTTACAAAGGGCCGGTTGCTTAACCTGATTGCGAACTCACTAGAGATAAACCTCGCGTTGCTCTTTGGATCAGCTGACCCAGATGAAAATTATCTATCTTTTATTGTAAAGTAAATTAAGACGTGTAACTAATCCTACAAGCTATTAGAAGCTCTTTCTTTTTTTTAAAATGAAATTTACTTATTCTGATTTTGGTTTTGCAGAAATGTGTTTTCTCTGTTTGAGAGTGCCATGCTTCTAAAGGACTCAGAAACAAAAGATGCTCTATGTCGCATCATTGGGGCTTGCGCCACAAAGAACCACTACACAGAGCAATCATCTGCTTCAATCATGCACCTAATTCATAAATATGACTTTGTTGTTACTCACATGGCTGATGCTGTTGCTTTGGCTGAGAAGAAGTACGCTGATGGAACACTTGCAAGTTCCCTTATCAGAGAGGTAGGGAGGACTAACCCCAAGTCCTATTTGAAGGATACAGCAGGGGCTGAAAATGTTGGGCGCTTCCTGGTGGAGCCTGCTGATCGACTACCAAAGTTAATGTCGACTAACATTGGACTTTTGGTGGTGAATCTTATAAGATAAGAATTGCCCTTGTAGGTGTTTTGCGTAAACTAGTTGCAAAAGCATTTAATGATGTTGATGGTGAAATGAGTTCTAAATCTGTTCATCTTCGGACCAAGCAAGCCGTGTTGGAAATTTTGCTTGAGCGTTGTAGAGATGTTTGGGCTTATACAAGGAGCCGAGTTGTTCAAGTTTGGGCTGAGCTATGTGAGGAGCATTCTGTTTCAATTGGTGTATGGAATAAGGTTGCAGCTGTTGCTGCTGGGAGATTGGAAGATAAGAGTGCCATTGTTAGAAAATCTGCATTAAATTTACTGATCATGATGTTGCAGCATAATCCTTTTGGGCCACAACTCCGAATAGCTTCATTTGAAGCAAATCTAGGGCAGTACAAGAAGAAGCTAAACGAGCTTGAACCAGATAAATTGTCTGAACGCATGAAGGATGGTGTACTGATGAGAGTGAGGTTGATAATGCAAATGCTGAAGAGGTGGCCAACCACCAGCCTGAGAGTTTAACTGATAGTTTACCCCATATGGAGCAAGAGATTGCTAGTAAGGATAGTTCTGTGCCAGATGTTGGGAACTTGGAGCAGACTAAGGCCTTGGTTGCCTCTCTCGAGGCTGGTTTGAAGTTTTCTAAGTTTGTATCTGCCACAATGCCAACACTCCTTCAATTGATGGTTTCATCTTCTGCTACAGACGTTGAGAACACAATTCTCTTGCTGATGAGATGTAGACAATTCCAAATTGATGGTGCAGAAGCCTGTCTCCGCCAGATGTTGCCACTGGTGGGCTTTCATTTGTTTTCATTCCTTCATGTCTATGTTTTCTTCTAATTCTACGTTTTTTTTTTCCTTCTTTTTGTGCTTTTGAGGTGGTCTATCCTGTGAACATGACTTCTTTTACTAACCTTTGACACAAATAGTACATGATCTGTTGTGGATTTTTCAGGTATTTTCTCAAGACAAATCCATATATGAAGCTGTAAAGAATGCTTTTGTAACAATTTATATTAGGGAAAATCCAGTAGAGACTTCTAAAAATCTTTTGAATCTAGCCATAGCTTCAAATGTAGGGGATCAAGCAGCCCTCGAGTTCATTGTTGGTGCTTTAGTGTCTAAAGGTGATATATCCAGTGGTGCGGTATGTTCTCTTTCATGCCTTTAGAATAACCATGTTGATTTGAATTACGATCGTTCCTTTATTTATGGAAACCTAGAAAGGTCAACCCTTCCTTGGAATTGTGATCTTCTTTTGTTTCCATGAATGAAATAGAAGTACAAGTATTGTACGTCTCCAGAATGTGATGACAATTATGGTAGTTCTGTAGGTTTGTAATGAATGAATCCATGTCTTTTGGAACCATTTGCTTATAGATTTTAAGGCCATCTTTTATTTTGTAGATTCATATACGTAACTGGATTCACATGAAATGCTTTATCATGATTTTCATTGCTTAAATTTCTGTGTGGTTACCCAGTGAGGGATAGATTGAAGTAATTTATTTTAAGGAGGTGTTAAAGTATTGCCAAAGATAATTTAGTGCAGAGAGAGTCTGAATCATATTGTTGCATGTCGTTCCCTTTGGAGAGTTTTAGCTATAAAAATAATTATCTCATAGTTAAAAGTCTGCTTTAATGAAATCAATGATTCTTTTTCTTCATTGTGCCACTGTCTTGCAGATATCAGCGTTATGGGATTTCTTTTGCTTCAATGTTAATGGAGCCACTGCCAAGCAAAGTCATGGGGATTTAGCTATCCTCTGCATGGCAGCAAAATCATCTACTGCAATTCTTGGCTCTCACTTAAAAGACATTATTGACATTGGGTTTGGTTGTTGGGCTAAAGTGGAACCTTTGCTAGCTAGGACAGCATGCGTTGCTATCCAGAGATTGTCTGAAGTGGACAAGAAAAAGTTGTTAATTAGTAATGGCAGCCGCATATTTGGTGTTCTGGAATGCTTAATTATAGGCTTTGGGCTTCCAGATAATATATGGTATGCTGCAGCTGATAAAGCAATAGATGCAATATACACAATTCATCCAACCCCAGAAACCTTAGCTGCTGATCTTGTGAAAAAGTCCCTTGGTTCAGTTTTCGATGGTAGCAGAGGAGATACATTACATGACGACATTGTCAGTGGTAACTTCACTGTACTTTCCACCGTTCAAGTAGCAAAGCTTAGCAGATACTTATTTCTCACAAGTCATGTTGCCATGAACCAACTGGTATACATTGAATCTTGTGTTCGGAAGATCCAGAAACAGAAAGGTAATAAAGAAAAAATGGACGCTGAAGGTACAGCAAATGCTGAAAAACAAAAGGTAAGATCAGCTTCTAAATGTTCCTTCACTAGTGAGCTAGAGCACAGCCTATTATTTACTTCTTAATTATAAATTTATAATCTGATTTAAGGAAGCTATATTTATGAATTTATGATCTGATGATGTCCTACAGGATAATAGCATCAATGCTGAACTAGGTCTTGCTGCTTCTGAGGATGCATTACTAGACACACTTGCTGAAAGAGCAGAGAAAGAAATTGTTTCTGGTAGCTCCACTGAAAGGAGTTTGATTGGAGAGTGTGCACCTTTCCTCTGTAAGCTCTGCAGAAAATTTTCTTTGATGCTGAAGGTGCAAGCTTCAACTTTTCCTTCCTCTATTTCCCTTCTTTCATTTTCCTATGGTCCTTTGGGTTCCATTATCAGCTTTCTCAATAAAGAGAATTGTGCACAGCAGTTATGACTTTATTTCTATACCATTTGAATTTATGACCGAAGTCATCTCCCTTCAAGGTATCATGTTAAAATGATTCATGACTTCGAAAATTTAATATCCTGACATTTGCAAAGTTCTTGAGAATAATCTCATGTATATAGATGGAAGACAAAATATAATTGTACTTGTACAATCATTAGTAAATTATTATAATGAATTCATTTTAATTTCTCATGGAAACAAAAGAAAGCAACTTCTCTTTTCTGTATTTGATTACTTGCATGCTTGTTATTTTCTACGCGTCAAAAATTTTGTTCAATAGATTGACTTGGCTTTCTGTTCTCAGTATCCAGTACTACAGGCCTCTGCAATGCTTGCCTTATGTCGATTTATGATTGTAGATGCCAATTATTGGTAACTCTCTCAATTTATATATCCTTCCATCTGTTATCTGCTATTTTAAGTCCAAAGGAGACTTTATGCCTAATTTTTTAATTGAATGAATTTCCAGTGATGAAAATCTCCAGCTTCTATTCACTGTTGTGGAGAATGCACCATCAGAAATTGTTCGTTCCAATTGCACTATTGCTCTAGGAGATTTGGCAGTCACTTGCCGAATCCGTTAGAACCATGGACAGAGAACATGTATTCTCGTTTAAGGGATCCTTCAGTTTCAGTTAGGAAGAATGCTGTTCTGGTGCTTTCACATCTCATACTAAATGACATGATGAAGGTCTGACAGGCTGGCTATCAGCAGCATACTCTTTCATTTTAGAGATGATAAAACTTTAGGGTTCTGATTCTGGGCATGTCTGGATCAGGTAAAAGGTTACATAAATGAGATGGCTGTACGAGTAGAAGATCATGATGAGAGGATCGCTAATCTGGCTAAGCTCTTTTTCCATGAATTGTCAAAGAAAGGTGAATTGTGATATTCAACCACTAAAATTGTAGAAATGACTAACATATATTTCCTCGAGTCAAATAGGTATTTAACAAATTTCTTTCTAATTATTTTGTCAGGAAGCAATCCGATATATAATTTACTCCCAGATATACTTGGCAAACTATCAACCCAAGATCTGCAGAAAGGGTCTGCAACATCATGCAGTTCTTAATTGGTTCCATCAAGAAGGTATACATTAATTTGTTTAGTTGATACTGAAATGAATGTTCTTTATAATGTCATTAACTTATTATCTATATTATTTTTCAGGACAAACAAATGGAATCACTTGTTGAAAAGCTCTGCAATAGGTTTAGTGGAGTCACAGGTATGCGATCTTTGATTCATTTAAATTCTCTTTGTATTTATTCATCTAAGATGATATTCTTCTTATAATATCCTCCTTTGAATATTACTATTATGTTGCTGAAAGTAAGACAAAAAACATGATTCTTTATTGTTAAGAAACTAGCATGCTTCTGGGGCCATTTTAGTCTTACTGCATTCAGTTGTTTTGATCTAGATGCATCAGATTGCATAAGAAAGAACAGTCTTTCTACTTGTTTGTAAAATGTCTTTGTTATTCATATTTTTGTAATATGTCAGATTAAGGGCCAAATTTACCATTCATCTTTGAACAAGTATAATTTTAACATTATACTTTTAATTTGGTTCAAAATGATAAAAAACTAATGGTAAACGAAAATTCTGTAGAATGTTCGGTTGATTCCTTACGAAATATTCATGTACTGTTACCTTTTGATATTAAAATTTTTCCCATATCCCCTGCGTTTTTAATAGATACACTTTATCCAGTCGGAAGATATACTTTCAGTTTAAGCTTCAAAATTTATGAATGTTATTTCTTGAGATCATTTCCTTTCTTTCTTTTCAAAGTTCTTTTTATAGTTTTTAAAATGCATTTCCCTTTTCTCTGGGCTGAGAACAATTGCATGAGCATAAGTGCTGCTGCAGATGAGGCTGTCTATTTAGTTGAAATAATAGATTATTTCAGAGCCATATTTTTCTGTTAACTTTTGTTGCCTTTAGTAGGATGTGCAGGATTTAGGAACCAGAGCGTCTTTTTCTCTCTAAATTATAGTATATAGGGTTCGAGAGAGCTGCAGCCTCCTTTTTTTCTCTACCTTTCTTCTGTTTGTTGCTACTTTGCTTCATATCGCAAACAAATAATAATTAATTAATACTTCTTTCTCGTGAATGATATAAGCTAGATTTTCCTCACAATATGGTTCATCTTTTGCTGCAGATGTTAGACAATGGGAGCATATTTCTTACTGTCTTTCTCAGTTGTCATTCACTGAAAAGGGAAATAAAAAGCTTATAGAGTCATTTAAGACTTATGAACATGCCCTATGTGAGGATTCTGTGATGGATCGTTTTAGAAACATAATTAACAAGGTGCCCTATTTCCTTCAGTTTTTCTGGCCTCTCTTTTTAAACCAGATGAACATTTTCTCTTCACATTGGCTGCAAACAGGGCAAGAAGTTTGCAAAACCAGAAATGAAAGTATCCATTGAGGAGTTTGAGGAGAAAATAAGTTCCACATGGAAAAGAAGGAGCAAGAGGTTACAGCAAGAAATGCAGAAATACATTGACAGAAGGTTGGCAACATAGAAGGTTTTGTTATGCCCGTAAATGATGGAGAAGAAAGTGCAGAATCTGACATTTCGGAAGGTTAGTTCATGAGTTTAATCCATGTGCCTGTGACTTTATCTAATTTCTTGCTACTTTCACTATCTTCTTATTTTTCTTGGATCTCTAACCTGGAAGTTTCTAGTTATAGTGTGTGGAAAATTGACTTACTGTATATTTAATTTTATTGTCGAGGGGCACCTTCATATTAAGGAATACAGATAAATAGAGAAAATGTCAGGAGTTGGTCTGCTGCAATGCAATTTACTTTGATACATCAGGCGGTCTAGTAAACAGTTAGATCTTAACATCTTCGTTAAGGATGCAAAGGCACTAGCCATTAGGTGAATATTTTAATTTGCAAAATTTTCGGACATGCTTTAATCGTACAATATATATGATGTTTGAGAGTTAGGATTGTGACTGGTGACTCTATTTATGTACTTAGTAGCATCCTGATTTTCTCATCCAGCGTGTTAGAGAAAGACAGAGCAAGGAAACTGTTATACTAGGCAACTCAATTACTTAGCTGCTGAAAATTGGTTAGTGAAAGACAGTGGTTACTAAAAATGGCTTCCAAGTTTTAAACTTTTCCTCCTATGGTCATCCACTCTAGCACAACAGATACCAAAATTTTCTGCAAATACAAGAACCAAAACTAATTTTAAATATCTCTTCTCTCTTTTATACGATAGGTGAAATAATCTTTGACATAATTTTATAATTATGATATCAGGATACCATGTGATATATCACAAACATAAACAAGTGTGTCAGTGTGTTAGATGGTAAGTAATTTCTTATTTCCACTCTAAGTTATTATGTTGTCAAGTGTGTCCCTAAGTACATGTATTACCGTAATTCTTTAAGCTCTTGTTTTCACTTTTTGCTTAGTGCTTCCATTTGGAGAAAATAGTTTCATACATTTACTTTAGATTTTTAAAATACATTCAAAGCAGTGAAGCTGGTATGTCTTTTAGGTGTTAGAGACGGTGAGGTCATTAATACAGCCATAGAAGGGTAAATCGAGTCTTTGGATGAATCATCATCATCACAAATTGTTGAGTCAGAGGAATCTTCCGGAGCTTCAAGTGAAGTGACTGAACAGGAAGAGATTGAAATTCAATCACTGAGAATTAATAGGAAAGGTAATTTGAGCTTTATAACTCTGTTGTTTGCAGTTTATTGAACGTGTTTGGTAAACATACTATGCCACTGTTATAGGTGTGCCCAGATCCCGAGTTAAAAAAAAGCCATGTGAAAGATCTGAAGGGTGACTTGTCCGTGACCTTCCAGAGAAATATCTGGTTAAAGAAAAAGGTAACTTCACTTTGTTTACTGGGCATGATTTACTTGAACTTCCTTTATATATATAAATATATATATATATATGTATATATATATATATATATATTCATATTTAATTTGAGTAAACCCTATAGATAGAGGTTTTTGTTTTTTTGACCAATTACAGAGTTTTGGATATGGTTGCATACCATACCAACCATATCTAAATGTCATGGATTCAGCTGAAGTGCAAGATATGGATGATGAATGGTGGAATTGGGGCAGAAATGCTTGCACCATTTTGAGACAAGATGCTTTCGCATTTGATAGTGTTCGTTACTGATGGTATCATTGATGCCATGGCTTCTTTGGTCCTCCTGTTTTGGGTGGTTGGTTTACTTGAATTTAAAATTTGTGGAGGGACAACTTATGAGCACTGTCTAATGGACGGTGTAAGAAATCAAGGATGCAAGGCATTTGTCTTTTTCTTGTTTATGTAGGAGGAAGGGTCTTCAGGTGATTCAAAGAATATGGAACTTGTCCAATGAGATAGCTAGCCAACTGAGGTGTGATCCTGTTCCTATGGGTGTGACAAGGTTATTACATCTAACGTCAAGAATAAGGGTCTTCAATTTGTTACACTTGATCACTAGGTCAAGGAATACCTTTTTTTTTTTAAATTTTCTGGGTAGCTATAGTTTCTGCATCAAAGTTTAAGGAAATATTCGACAGTTCATAATGATTATGCAGGTAGAAGAATGAAATTAATCAGTTCAACACGTTTGGGTCATTACTTACTGAATGGGAGAAAGCCGGAAGTTCTTTATGTACTCAAAAGTAGGCAGCGGTGTTGGAATACACGGTTTGGCATGGACCACCCATCTTTTAAAACAAAAGGGTAGCGTTATTCTTTTGAAATGGTTTCACTGCCGTATATAATATATTTAGTTTGTCCTGTGAGCAATGAAAATGCACACGCCATGATATTGTGTTTCAATTTTTTGCATTTTCATTGTGCACTCGTTTTAAATACATCTGTTACCGTTCTGAAATGAATTGGAAGTGCAGGCACGGGATATTGCCTCCACATTAATCAATTAATCGATTAAGGCCCAAAACATTAAGATTCAAGTTTAAATAAAAACTTAAATTCTCAGAGAAATAAGCAATCAACCAAAACAAATACTCTCCACAACTTGATCACAAGAGGAAAAAGAAAGTCTCAAACACATTCCTTGATATCCATATTACTCACATAAGAAATCACTTTTATCAACAACCTCCTTATATTGTATGGGTAGATACTACAAACTTAAATTGATGTTCATAAATTTCTCGTGTCCGGATATCATTTTGGCCAAAGCAAAAAGCCTAAGTGCCAGCATTTCTACGGCCAACACGAGCAACAAAACCAGCTTTAATTGGAGCAACTGATCGTCCAGACCCACACTGCAACAATGAGATCACAAGTTTTTAGGACAACAGCATGCAGAGGAAAAGTTAAAAAAAAAAAAAAAATCAAGACAACGCAAACACCCAGTCAGCCAGTCAGACAAAGTAGTCAGTTCCCAGAACATAAGCCTGCATAGTGGAAACACTTGCTAGTAATGCAACTGCTCAATACTTTTTCATAAAATTGTTTACAAGCCTAAAAGCTGGAATATAGACAAAGACCAAGATGGTTCCCTACCACATAAGCATGGCCATCAAATCAATTTAACTGGAAACTAAAACTAATATTCCAAATATATGGTACGACTTAATAATATCCACCATCAGAAATCAGCTTTATGTGATGACCAGCAAGTCTAGGCATCAGATTTGTTATTTTTATTGTCATCAGAGTGAAGATCCAATAATGTAGGCGACTCTTAATCATCATACACCTTCTTAAAGCTCAAATTCATTACTAATTGCATCATTCAAACCAAAGCTATATGCAGACTATCGTGCATGTTTAACACAGTGAGAAGATAAAGTTAGGTCAGTCCAACCTACCAAATGAGTATGATCACCTAATCAATAAAAAATATAAGAACTAGAGGTAATAACATAATGAGAAGAAAAGAGTTCTATACATACATAATCAACCAATGCAAATGAGAGCATAATCATTTGACATGAAGGATGAAAGGGTTGGAGAAGAATATGAACAATATTACCTTCTCACATCTGAGAAAGAAAAGACGATTCTCCTTTGAGAGTATTGTATCTGGACTTTTGCATCCAAGGCAAATAACGTACTCATCTGAGAGGAGAAAACCAAATTTACAAAGGAAGTCAATCAAAATATTTGCAGCTAAAAGTTTACATTTACCATCGTTCAATATAAGTTAGCATGAAAAGAAAAGGTACTTACTGATATAACGCCTAAGAATCCCTTCAAAATTTTTTGGTGCAAACCTGCCCTTAACAACCAACCTCTGCTGCCCATCAAGTGATCCACTTGTCCCTAACTCAGCAAGCAAGAAGGCCATGACATGATCTGGTTGTCGATGCATCCTAAAAGATTTACCCAGCCAACAAGTTGTTAGAGAGGATGCGGTGTTTGATATGAAACTTGGCCACCCAAATTTGCAAATAGAACACCATCAAATGGTAAATTCAACTTCAATAGCTGAACATTGTCCAAGTGCAACCAGGTGTAGAAATATTTGTTTTTCCCAAATATGATTAACTCCTAAGTGAAAGATTGTCGGAATGAGGACATCAGGAAGCTATTAATACAATATGAAGCATGATCCACATGCGAGCAATATATTTTTATAGAATAAATAACAAAAATATCCAGATTCTAAAAATTTCCCTTAAGAGATATAAGATCCTCAGCCATCCCAAATAGCACAAATACTCTATTTATAGCTGAATAGAGTACATAACACAGGAAAAAGAGCAATAACATACGTCTTGCATAGATCCATGAAATTCACAAATACAGTTTTCTTGGTGCCTTCACGAAGAACTTGTGGAGGCCTCATAACAGTTCTACGCCTATCTCCAGCAAGCTCAGGGTTGTTCTCCCGGAGAATGTTAAACACCCGACCAAGAAGCTGCATGCATCACATCAATAGAAGGTTAAACAATTTATCAATGGCACAACAGAGGAAATAGCAATAGAAACTCAATAATTTTCAAGTATGCTATGAAAAGTGAAAATTGAAAAGCCAATCCTGTTAGAGATCTGGTAGCCACCAATCACCGCCAAATAAGATAAAATTCTCTAGCATTATGAAGAGACACAAAGACAGCTATATAATCAGTAACCTTCAAGATACATAAAAACATCCTCCAAAATGGATTGTTGTGAATGGTGAAATTCTTAGTTATATGAATCTCAAGATCCCATCAAGTACAACTAATAGGTACATTACCATGACAAGGTTATGATATCCAATCAAGAATGCAAAAACGGTAACACATTGAGATACGCACTATACCTCTTCATATTCATAATCACGATCACTTCCTTCCCAAGGAAAACGTTGTTGCAAGACAATGCCGTCACCTTCTTCATCTCCATTAACATGATCTAGATAAGAAGGAAACCAACATATAAAAAATATCAATTACAAATTTTAAGCAAGACATGTGTCCAGTTCACAATATTACCAATCATTAATTTAATGAAAGAAAATTCTAACCATCAAAATCATCTCTGGCATCCTGACTTTCCTCTTCGAATGTACTGGTCTCTACCTAAATATCATAGTAAACACAATTAGTTGATTGAGAAGCAACCATACATATCTATTAATTTAAAGCATGCAGACTTACTTGTTTCTTCTTCTTCTTTTTCAGGTTGCTAAAGTCAAGGCCATCAGAAACTGTAAGTAAAGAGAAATAAAACTGAGTCTCCTAGCAAAAAATAGCAGACTTCTAGGGCGCCATCTGGTTGATGCTTTTGATTTTTTGCTTTCCACCCTTTGTCTTTCGTTTTCTATTATATTTTATATTTACTTTATCTTTCACTCATTTTTTTTAGAAGTATCAACCAGACAAAGCCCAGGAAAATGAAGAAATACTTGGCAAAAGTACCAGACAAGGCTTCAGTTTTCTCGGCTAACTTATCAACAGAATCATCTGCAGGGTCCTGTATCACAACCTTCTTCTTCTTCTTCTTTTTACTAGGATCGAATGGCGCAAGCTCAACAAAAGAAATCCATTAATTAGAAAAAAATGGAATTGCGTAATATAGATCATGCTTTTGTGTGAATAAAGCATAATTTCCTTTTCCATTAATTAGTTTACTTTCCATAAATCGTAAAATTTACAACTTGGAATAGAAAAAAATATAAATGATTTTATTCCTTTCAGTGGATTAGAATTAAAAAAAATAAAGGAAAAAGAAATTCCATAACAAGTTAACACGTTTCAATACACAATCTTACACAAATATTAAAAGTGAACTAAGTTAATCTTATTATCCCATTAATTACAGAAGAAAGACAGCCAAATAAAGAAAGAAGAAAGACAGCCACCTCATCCCTCACTTCATCGTCTTCCATGATTGCTGCAAAAGCAAATAAAATTAAAAGAAAAATCAGAATAAAGGATCGAAAATAGATATTTTTTTTTAAAGAAAAGAAAAATCATAGAAGCTATGAAGCACAGAAATTGGTCGCATGGATAGGGCACAAAAGTGAAAACACGAACCTTGGTGTTTGGCTTTGCTTGCCTTTAGATGCGAACGCAAGCCTCAAATCAGAGAACAAAAGAAATTGTTGATTTGGCAGATAAGTGAAACTAGAGTAAGACGGCCGGCTTTTGGAACAGAAAGGGTAGGGTGCTCGCTTTTTCTTGGGTTACAGTTACGGAGAAAAAAAAACCTATGGACTAAATTTATAGGGCAAATAAAACTAGGGCTTGGTGTAATGTGTTCTTAAGCATAGTGGCCCATTTAGTAAGCCCGTATTTTTAAACAATACTTTTCCTTTTTAGGCTTTCTTTTCTGCAAGGCACTCCACGATACTTTCAAGATTTGTCTCGACCTTTGCAATTCAAGATTTTACTTTTCGATGACTGTTCACAAAAATCAAACTTTAATTGATGAGAGAAGAGAGCTCTTTCCATTCTGTTAAACTATTCAAACAATTTTGGCCACTAGTAATTCTCTACATTTTGTCTTAAAAGTTAATGGATTGCCAATTGCTTGTTCAAATTTGGAGAAAAAGGAAATGATTATATTCATCAAGTTAATTATTATAGTAAGTATATAAATGTATAATTAACCATGTGCATCTTCTCATAACTCAATTTTTGTTTTAACTGAATCTCTATTTTGACAGGTGAATTTTAGGGGGTTAAAAACTGGGCCTGGTTCACGCTAAATCTGTCAAGATTGCTCTGCTTGAAGGCTAGGTTCTCTCCATGAATATTTTGTTGTGAGCTTCCTTTGTTACTTTCTCCATTTCTTGCTTTATTTACTTTTTTTTTTTTTGGTCATTAATGAAAATGAAAGGAGAGAGACAGAAGAGAATCAGAGATCACCTTGTTCACTTTTCCAGCATGTTAGTCGTTTCATATTGCAAATTCAGAATGTTGCTTAATTGCTGAATATCACATTAAACTACAACCATCGGAATTGGTTTGAGCCACAAGGGTAAAAGATGTGGCCTGTTCTCTGCAAAGAGTTTGCATCTCCACTTTCTTATTTTCCTGCGCTACCAAATCTTCCCGAACCAACAATGTTTCTAAATGACGACAACCAGTCACCTGTTGGCTCAACATCCTGAATACAGTGTGTTTGAAAGCACCAGTTACCGCAAGGTGAGTACAAAATCCTTTGAACCAAAGATTCAATATTATATTCCAATATCACAGAAAAAGCTGGTGCTTTTCACGTGAGCTTTATTTGCATGCCTGGTTTTGGCCTTAAAAGAGTGAATCACTAAAGGAAAACATAGCTTGAAAGATTCCATAAACCTCAACACAAATCAATTTGTATTTTTCAGCAATCAAACGAGGAGGATAGCCCAAGATAAAAATGAAACAAGAAGTATCTCGGTAAAAGCAAAATTTAGTTATCATCCTTTTATCCCCCTTCTGGGATCTTTTCTATTCCTTTCCTGCAACAAAAAGTCAAAGAAGCCAGCATAAATATATTACAGACAATCTTAAAGTTTCTTATCTTGCAAACAATCTCACACATCATGCCCACAACAAATATGTTACAATAATATCAAATATAAATGAAAAATCATTGCCAATCTCTGTAAGGTTATTGATACTGCATGGAAATAGATATGTAGTAGTACCCTTTCACGACCACATTATATTTCATCCTCCTCAAAAGGATTTCGTTCAGGATAGTCACCAACCTGGAAATGACAGGAAAGTGCCATTCTAAGTTTCGAATCAATAAAAGCAGTAGTACATGTAAAAGGGTAGGAGACCCCAAATATTTTACTGACAGAGTACCACTCCTGGACTTTGGATATAAAAAAACTTAAGCTAATTATTAAACATAGATGCACAATCTTTTCTTTCATGAAAGAAAAAAAATTAAAGACAAAAATAGAGAGTTCATCAGCTGTTTGGATCGACTTGTTAAATAATCAACAGAGAAGTCTCACACACTTCTTTCAAATGTAAATCAAGAAGAGAACTCACTAATTTGCCCTTATGGCTTAGTCACTTCATAGGATGGCATTTGGCATAGTGGCACTAGTATGGTTCTTAGATCCAAATCTTTCAGAGCAAAAAGAATATTATTACTGGGTTCCCTAGAGTAAAATCTGCAAAGAAATAATGTCTACTAAGTTTATCCCATCTTTTAATCTGCCTATCACTTTTTCTGTCCCATCCACTACCATAAATCAATTAGCAGTCAATGTTAATTTCGCTTTTCTATTTGTAATTATGCTACAAATAACAATTAAGAAAACAAAAAATAAATAAAAAAGTACTATTAAGGTTAAGTAGCAGACTAACGGACAATGAATTATAATGTAGTAAACTTGCTTTCTCAAAGTTTGTTCAATTCCCTCATGGACTAACAACTTGGGAGAACGGGAATAGAACATGCACTATGTCTTTCATTTACCATAAATAAACTTTTAGAAAAATAAACTTTTAGAAAGATATTGTACGTAAAGGACTAGAGCCTAAGGGATCTATTCAAACCCTCAAAAATTGGCTACAAGAAAGAAATCAAATTCTCCCCTGCAGTACATGGATTTTTTTCTTCACTGAAGTAGGAATATTTATTCTCAGATCTACACACTACCTCATGAAAAAAAAAATTCCTACTTAACAATTTGGCATATGACACTATTCTTCTACGTATATATGCATTAAGAGATTTGCAATAGGATGTATATCTACCTAAATTATTTCAACTAGAGAAGGCCACAGAAGAACCCCAAAATGCATACATCACTTAACATATTTGCATACGAACCTTTACTTTGTCAGGCCTAACAATTGCACCACAAAGCGGAGGGCACTGAAAATATCGGGTTCCTTTCACACTGCAATATGACCAACATGACCAACAGATTATGTAAAAAAAGAAAAATGAATAGTAAAAAGAAATGACTCTGATAGAAGAATTTACTCCACAATGTCTAGTTCAAGCAAGAAACAAAAACTAAAGCCCAGGCAGTTGACAACATGAATTTCAGAATGGCATAAAGCTACAATTCATAATGTTGATGGAAACAAGGAATGCTACACTAAGCATGTCATGGTCTTGTGAATGAGGCCCTGAATATAGATCTTTTATACTTTGTTATGAAACTATGATGAAAAATGTCAACTCAATCCAAAAGGTTCCCCTTATGATTTCCCTACACTGTTTGTCCATCATTAAACTCAAAGCATTAAAATGGTATCCTTTCATTTAGATAAAAATGCCTCCACATAAGATATATTATTTAATGTGGATCCTCAATCCTAATAGGATTACCAATTTAATGCATCCGTTTTTTAAAATCCAAACGCATTCAACATGAATAAATTAAATACCATTCTTTAAAAAGACATATGATTGATAAAAAATATCAATCCTTCTAAGAGTTTCTATCACACAACAAAAAGTACCATATAACAAGAACATTATGGAAAAAAAAAAAAGAATATAGAGTTTACATACACGCCATCATGTTTCCCTAACGGTTCATCATACTGAACTCCAATCCAGAAGCCTGGCCCTAATGCTTCTGCTCGACCGACATATTTGACAACCCCTCTTTTCTCCCCTGGTTCAACTTCACATCTGTCTCCTACCTGATTTGAAACAATGAGAAGAAAAGCTATGATGCATAAGTTGAAGCAAGCTGGCAAAACAACCCAAAACACATTTGATATGTAGGGAAATGGGGGGAAAATTATCAAGGAGGTTCTTCAATCCTGAAAAATAGGATGCAAAACAAATTTCTAGAAGTAACATACTCATAAAACTACAGTTGGTCATAGGTAAGCATTATCGAGCATAGTATTGAATATACTATTCAGCAAAAAATGCTAAGTACAGTTGAAGAAGAGAAAAGTAAATATACAACCAACCTTGATATTTGCACAGAGGTCTTCCATGTAGTTATCCGACATCTGTAAAAGAATTCAAAATCCAGCACGACCAAGACAGAAATAGCAGCAATTTATACATGATTTCACTTTGTAATAATGCAGTAGGAATCCTTGCTATTGACAACTTGCATGTAATGCTAGTTGATGCTGTTAAGGCAGCCTATAGCTACCAATATATATTTATATATCAAATAAGAGATACTTACTTTATTTCTAAATGCTAATGGATTTTGAGATGCCATCTTTTCCTTGAATTTCCTAAAAGTACCTGAAACAACAAAGAAGTTTAAACCATTGCAACTAAATGCCAAATTAAAACGAAACAAAAGTAGAGGATAACAATTTCAAGTCAATAACATAGCCGAATCGGCTTTTACAGATAGCTTAACTAACTTATAGCCGAATCGGCTTTTGCAGGTAGCTTAACTAAATTACCTGAACGTTTATTGTATTCATCTTCAGAAATGGAGTACTTTTCGACTAATGAAGTATCTTCAAGCAATCCTCCAGAGGTTACTGATGAAGGATCAAGATCTACAATGTGCATTCGGAACCTTTTACAGTAAAAGGATGGAATTAAAAGGCAATAATTTATATGTTTTAAAATGTAAATTGATAAAATTAGATTTAAAAACACAAATAAAAATAGAGGAATTGGCAAAAGACTAACCCATCTAGTGGAGAATAGAAACCGAGAGGCCTTGAATCATCACTTAAATCACAAAGTTTATTTTTAAAATCATCAAAGAGCTCTAGCCGCATTGAATTTACCGAAGTCCCACATTTCTTCCACAGCTTCTCTTTCACTGCTTCCACGCTCATCTTGAAACAAATTAAATTTGTTCAACCTAACCTTGTTTCTTTTTTTTTTTTTAATATTTTGATAAAAAAGAACGTCAGGAATAATTTAAAGTTAAAGAAATTGTTGAAAAATGGAACCTGAAGAAAGAAGCGAATGTCGGCGGCGAAGCTTTTGAGGTTGGAGTGAGTGACTCGGAGCAGCACCGAGCCATCGCCCTCAATTTGCAACAGCGACGCCATGAATCCTTCGATATTTTTTGGGTTTAATTTTGAGAATTCAGATGTAAGTAACTAACGACATGTGCCTTTCTTTTTTAGTTTTCATAGCGACAGACAGAGTTCAAGGTCAAAGGGTAAAAAATTTTCCATTTACTAGACTTTTACGTGGCATTTTGGTATAAGTAATTTTTGGTTTATCGTTGAAGGTTTATTTAAACAGTTAAAGAGTCAAAACATTCATTTTAAAACAAAAGGATAAAAGTATCCTTTAACAAAAGTGAGACGCCCTACGGTGTCGTTTTATTACGAGCCAATAACCATTCGACAGACGCCGTTTGTTTAAACAGTAAAAGAGTCAAAACATTCATTTAAAAAAAAAGGATAAAAGTGTCCTTTAAAAGTGAGAAGCCCTAAACTAACCGTTACCTTCCTACGGTGTCGTTTTATTACTTGCGCTTGTATTATCAGCACCGTGTAATTTTGTTATTGGTAAATAGGGTCACTGTAAATCCAAGCCCTTAAAACCTAAACATAATCTTCCGGACATTTGTTTTGGAAAATGGCGTCATCACTCGCTCCCAAGCCTTTCTTTTCCTCCTCGCTCTATTCTGATCCTTCCTGCAACAAAGTAAGTCTCTTTTTCCTTTTTCATTTTTATGTTAACAGTAATTTTCCCTTCAAAATCATTTTCTGTTTTCTTCTTTCGGTTTCAAATTTCTGTAACTGGTGGGCGTAGTTCTGATGATGCCTTGTTGAGCTGTTATGAATTGGGCTTTGGTTGATGAGGGAAAGCTTTTATTCTTTTTTGTCTTTTTTTTTTTATTTACTAACAAATTTACATTGCTACTGATAATTGAATTCTATTGAGACTTCAAAACTATTACTATAAAACACTATATTCGATTGTCTTTGTTGAATATATAATAATGTATTTAAAACGTATCGTCTAATTTTTTCTTTTTTACTTGTAGAAGCAAAAAAGAAAAAGTCTTTTTGGAGCTAAAAACAAATAACGGAACTTTTTTATAATTAAAATTTAAAATTGTTTTTGGATAAATTCGTGTCTTTTTATTTTTGATTTACAATAATTGTGTTATAATTTTTGTTGAACTTTTGTCGTTTGTTCATTGTTAATGGCTTATGAATTTCTTTCTTAATAACGTTTTTAAGAAGCAAAATCAAGCAATCAAGTAGAGCCTCTGCAGTCTAATAACTTAATCAATTGCCCGAAGGACATGATTCTATTTGTTATTTGTGTAGGGTTCTTTGCTAGAGAATTTCCCAAGAAGTTTTCAGGTTAAGAAGGAATTAAATTTAGAGGGAAGGTGGGTGTTGTCTGCAAAGCAATTCAGATTGCATTGTTCAGGGCACAAGGACATGGATGTGAGTGCTTCAGTTTTAGCTGATTCTGTAACTGAGTGCTCAACTGGTTTGTGCCATTCTTTTATGGTTTCTTAATTTATGGGACTTTGCTGTCTGTAATTATTAATTTATTTATTTTATATGTTGCAGAACTGGATGTTGAGGAGCAGGCGCCTAGCATTTCAACATTATTGGTGAATATTGATAGTAAGTTTGATCCATATGGTGCAATGAGCACACCACTTTACCAAACAGCTACATTTAAGCAGGTAAGCCTATTGAGATATTTAGTTTGCATTATCTTTTAATTGTTTATCTATATGCAACACTCTGGGAACAAAGGAAACTTAAGAATTTTATGAATTTCTACGGTTTAAATGGTTCTGCTAGTTTGATGATTCTCGTACAACAAGCTTTTGTAGTTTGATTCATTTATTGAATTTCTACCATACTGTGTCAATTTTTAAGTTTATAGGTTGAACCGTTAAAAGTATTAATGAGATGACACATAGCCAAGATTGATTTGGTTTCTGCTTTCTGTCTCAGCCGTTTTGATTGGTTTTTCATGTAGCCTACATTCTGACATCAGTCCTCATTTTTTATTTTATTATATGATGTAAATATGGAAAATCCAGAAAATATATATCTAGTCTCTCTCTCTCTCTCTCTCTCTCTCTCTCTCTTGTGCACACAAATGCACATGCTCATATGCTCATTATATACAACAAGACCGGCATGCTTATTATTTATTTCCTGCCTATATGTGGCATCTAACTCGGGTGAGACTTTGATTACTGTGTATTATACTTTCTTTTGAAGCCTTCGGCAACTGAAAATGGCCCATTTGATTATACTAGAAGTGGAAATCCTACGCGGGATGTTTTAGAAAGGTGTAATTTCACATTGCCATGCTCAGAATAGTTGAAGGACTTTTATCCTTCATCAGTGAAACCAACCATTTCACCTTCTTTCATTTACTTTTCTGGAGTGTTAAATTGTTTTTATTCTTATTTCATAGGCTCTTGGCAAAGCTTGAGAAGGCTGATCAAGCATTTTGCTTTACCAGTGGAATGGCTGCTTTGTCTGCTGTTACTCATCTTGTTGGAACTGGTACCTTTTTTTTTTACTTTTGCTTTTTCCTTTTTGGAGTATATTTCATTTGAGTTTTATAATGCTTATAATCTCTTACGACAGTTTGAAACTTGCTATGCTGGTATTTTCTTATCCACATTACAATCTTTCAATCTACGTGTTGCCCTTTCCTATTTGGTATGTAGTTATAAGAGTCCGACTTTTTCCTTTTTGTTCATGGTCCTTGATCCGGGCATGTTTTGCATGGTTATTTGTTCGAATTTATAGTTTATTTCTGTAAATGCCTTTCATTCCTTTCATGCAGTTTAAGCAAACCTTAATAAGATTGTCTTTTTTTCCTTTTAGGCCAAGAAATTGTTGCCGGAGATGACATCTATGGTGGCTCTGATCGTTTATTATCTCAAATAACTCCAAAATCTGGAGTTGTGGTTAAGTTAGTATTCTCTTCTTTTGATCACTGTCATCGTACTGCTACAGAAATCTGAGATAAATTGCTTAAAATGTTTAGACGAGTAGACACCAGTGATCTAGCCAAAGTTGAAGCAGTTGTTGGCCCCAAGACAAAGCTCGTGTGGCTGGAGAGTCCAACCAACCCTCGACAACAAATTGCTGATATTCGTGTGAGACATTTTTCTTTTCTCAAATTATATATCTTTTTATTGACAAGAATGCTTAGATTTTGTTGATTTCTTAGTTACACTTGTCAGATATATGTCAATTTGTCATTTTGCTAAAATGCATTAATCTAATAATGCATATCTGTTATGTTTTTCTGCACATGAAGGTATAAAAGGGTTGTGGATGATTTAATTTGTTGTCAGTTTTTATACCGTGAATCATTTTTGTCATGGTTTTATGTGTGCGCTCCTTTATACTTAAATTTGTTCTTCATTGCTGAAATCATAATTGCAAGGCGCAACATCTAATAGCAAAATGTTTTTTCCTGTCTGTCTAATTCCAGAGAATTGCCGAAATGGCTCATGCTTTTGGAGCTCTTTTGTTGGTAGACAACAGCATTATGTCTCCGGTACTATCGCAACCATTGGAACTTGGAGCAGGTATCAACAATATACATGGCTTTGGATTCAATTTTAAATTTTTTAAGGGAATATGATTACATGCTTCAGATTATTGGTAATTTTGATTGGTTCATCCTATTTCAGACATTGTGATGCACTCTGCTACTAAATTTATAGCTGGACATAGTGACGTTATGGCAGGTGTGCTTGCTGCTAAAGGAGAGAGGTTGTAGTTCTTTTTCCATGCATTTCTGTTGTTCATCTTGGAGACTATACTTATCTTAAATTCATAATATACATTTAAATATTGATCAATATTTGATGATTTGAAGTCTTTATGACCATCATCTATGCCTTTATACTTGGACGTAGGCAAATCTTTGCTTTACCTTCTTTTCCTCTTGTTTTAGAAAAGGAAGAAATGGGTAATAATACTATGCTCTGTAAATTGAGGGTAAGACATTGAACCTCAAATATGCAATTGGAGGAGGGAGAAATATAACCTGATGATTTCCTGAAATTTTGATTGAAGGACTTCATATCCCAAATTCATTGTTGTTTCTCATACTTGATTGATGTCGTTGGAGTAGAAAAGACAATTGTTTAAGCTTTGATTGTCAAAGAATTGTTGCTGTTTCTGACATATGATGTAGAAGAGGAAGATGCTAATTGAAGGATTAAATTATTTGGGGGGAGGGTTCATTTTATTAGATTTTATAGGATCAATTGCATTTTATATATAATTTACCTTTTGTTATTTGGGTTGTCTATACTATTTATTCTTGCTTGGTTACTGAATACTAAGATTGTAGTCTACAATATACTTGGATATATTCAGTTTCTGATGATGAATTGTGTCTAATTATGTCTTGGAAGATTAGAGGATGGCCCCTATGTTATTCTTTCTTCAATTTTGAAGAACTAATTTTCTTCACATTTCTGCTAATGCTTAGGCTTTGCTTAGCAGGAAAGATGGAAAAATTTTAATTTAATGCATCAGTTTCATAATCACTTTCCTAATTTGTAGTAGTTTAACCTTTGGATTAACAAATTTTCATACTTACCTCTTTTTATCCTTCCTACCAAGCAAAGTCTTAGTTGGAACCTCTGCATTAGTTTTCTCTTAACCAGACGGTCTTTTCACTAATGTCCCCTTTTTGAGAATTCAAACATCAATATATTTAAATATAAGTATTATTGGAAGCATGTGAAAATACAAAGAATTCTAAATTGCCCACATTCTGCTTAACTTGTGTCCTAGATGAACTCATTCCTATGCTACATTAAGAACAAAATCTGTACCGAGAGAATATGTACATGGAACTGTCTGTCTCTCTCTTAGGAGGTCTATCATCTCTACTTTCTTCTTACTCTTCCCTGCTCATAAAAAATGCTAAAGTCTTCATTTGCTTATTTAAAACATTAACCAACTGGTAGGACTTAAAAATTCTAGAATATAGCCAGAAATGTATCTTTCAATTTTGTGTGCCCAAATTCTTTTTTTTTTATTTAACTGTTTTAATTTTTTTCCATGAATATACATATAAAAATGCTCATTCGTGGGAAAAAATTGTTTATTTGTATGCACTTTTCTTATTCGTAGTTGTTATCGTAAACTTTTTCTATTCTTCTACTAAAGTATTTAACCTCCACTTATTAATTAAGTTTTTATTGGCCGTTTTTCCTTACGATTACCTTCCCAATTCCTAATAGTTTTTTTCTTTTTTACTTTCACTAGCTTGGCAAAGGAGTTATATTTCCTACAAAATGCAGTTGGCTCTGGTTTAGCTCCTTTTGATTGTTGGATCTGTTTAAGAGGAATCAGGACCATGGCCTTGCGTGTTGAAAAACAACAGGTGATGCTTTAGACATTTTGAGTACTGTATTTAATTTTGTAAAGTAATTATTTGGTGAATGATGTTCTTTATTGTGATTTTTGCTATCTTCTGTTTGTTGACATTACATGACAATCTGCTTAATGTTGGACTTGTAGAAATGGAATAGCCTAGATATAAGCATTAGTTAAGACACAACTGATGTGACTAATTATGACAATTTATACAAGTAAACTTATGAGGCCTTGATATGGAGAAAGAGGGTTTCTGAATCTGCAAATCCCACCAAGTGTTAATGCTAAGTCATATGTGCTGTTGACATTACATGACAATCTGCTTCATGTTGGACTTGTAGACATGGAATAGCCTAGATATAAGCATTAGTTAAGACACAACTGATGTTACTAATTATGACAATTTATACAAGTAAACTTATGAGGCCTTGATATGGAGAAAGAGGGTTTCTGAATCTGCAAATCCCACCAAGTGTTAATGCTAAGTCATATGTGCTGAATGCTGGCAATTGAATAGCTAAAACAAATTGAAGTATTATGTGTTTAGATCACATGGTGAGTTGTTTGATCTAGCATGGGCAGTTTTATACTTAAGATATGTTTTTATTATCTTTGGTCTCTATCTCACGGGGTTGGATTAAGGTCTTGACTTGCTCATATGCTCTGTGTACCTTCTTTTTATATTTCTTATTGACATGGTGAACCTCGGCGCTTCCCTTCTCTCTTTCTGATTGCAAAATCATGTATATATGTATCTTTATATGTTTGTCTGCATGCTCTCATGATCTCATCTGATTGCTGTTACTGCACATGGCTACAAAGATTTAAAGTAAGAAGAAAGTTATTAGCTTAGAACTTACATTTTTTGGTAGATGTGGATTAAGCCTTGGACTACGCAATTGGAGGTAGCCCTCTCCCATCCCGGGATTCAAATTTGAGACCACCAAGTTGAAGTCTCAAGTTTTAACCACTGGGGCAAGAGTAAAGTTGGAAATTCTCCATTGGGGGGAGGGGGGGCGTGATAATATATATATATAGTACAAGTAAAAATAGTTGAAACAATAATTAATATCAATGTTTTATCATATTGATTGAAAGGAAAATTTTTTAAATTATCATATTAGCGTACAAATTTCATAAAGGCAGGGCCAAAACAAAATTGTACCTCTCGTTGTTGCCAAGAAAGGGTGAAATTCATGGGATTTGAAGTAGCTGAGGGGCCCTGAAAGTTCCTGTACCCCCCTTCCCTCCCTGGTAGATTCGCCCCTGCCACTGGGTTATCCCCTTGATTCTGTTTAGATTTGTACTTTGATAAATTAGACATGTTGTTCTGTCACTGTTAACTGTATGCCAACATTATTTTTGCAGTGATCATCTAATTTAGTTAAGGCTATTGAAGAATTTCATTGCTTGCAGTGATCTTCAATCTTGCTATGTTACTATTTTCCCCATAGTTGCAATTGTTAAAATTTGCTTGAGTTCAAACTTGAAACTAAGGTTTCTGAATCTCCTACAGGAAAATGCACTGAAGATTGCTGAGTTCCTTTCTTCCCATCCACTAGTGAAGAAGGTTAACTATGCTGGTCTTCCTGGTCATCCTGGACGTGATTTACATTATTCTCAGGTACTAATGATGGTTGTAAATTCTGATTTCAACGTGCTTGTGCTTAATTTCCTAGCACTAAATACCAAACTCACTCTTGCAGGCAAAGGGTGCTGGATCTGTGCTTAGTTTCTTGACAGGCTCTCTGGCACTCTCGAAGCATGTTGTTGAGACTACCAAATACTTCAGCATAACAGTTAGCTTCGGTAATAATACTTCCTAACCAAAGTATATACGTGCCTTGCATAATCTTTTTTTTGAGCAATTGGTTTCTTTATGCATCACATGACAACCCTAAAATGATGACTAGACCTCTATTCTGTGAGGATCAATATTATTCTCCACAAATGTACAATGCTTTTATTGAACTTTCATTTCTTTGAGATGAATATTTTCTTAAAATGAAAAAAGAAGCTCCTTGCATTCACAAACACTTTTAGTGGCCAATCTGAGCTTTCAAATATCTTCTGAGATGGAATTTGTATCACTTGCCTTAATGGATACCAATCCTTGAAGAAGGAAGAAAGGGGGAAAACCATATTGATGAGTCATAAAAAGAAATAGAGCAGAAACTAACTTCAGTGCAAATGTTTAATTCTCAGATGGTGTAGATGTATTCTTTGAGTCTTAAATGTTGATGGAACAACAAAAGATAGTTTCTAATATTTGATGCTTTTAGATGATTGTTAAATTTGTTGAAGCTTTTGGCTGTGATCAAAACTCACAATGTGATTGTCATTGATGATCAGGGAGCGTGAAATCCCTCATAAGCATGCCCTGCTTCATGTCCCACGCAAGCATACCAAGTGCAGTTCGTGAGGGTAGAGGTCTAACTGAAGATCTTGTTCGTATCTCCGTTGGAATTGAGGATGTAAATGACCTCATTGCTGATTTGGAAAATGCCCTCATAACTGGCCCTTCGTAGGCCATCAATATTTATTGGATGTTGCTTGGTGACTTGCATTTAGTTGTTAGCATGTTGTTAGTTTGCCAATAATGCATGTTGGTTTCTCTGTGTATTTGAATTAGGGGGCAGCTCAAAATTCTTCGTTTTCTTTCATTTGAGATGGTTTTTTTTTTTTTTTTAAAGCGTTTTAAGTGGCCAAGGCCAAGAGCGTTACTTTCACTATGGTACCTCAGAGAAAGTGCTATTATTCTTATTCTATGTTAAAAAGAAAAAAAAAATTACCCTAATAATCTCTGTATGCATCGTAATTTTTTTTCTTTTTTGGCCTCTGCAATTCCATGCTATTAACTTACAATTTCGTTTATTATGCTAATGCCATTATTAAGTAATGACAAATTTATTAACAACGCTAGGCTTCAAATTTTTTTACAATTCATGAGGAGAGAATAATTTAAAATTACTCATGTTGAATATAACTTTTTATTTATTTATTTATCGCTCCACTTGCTGTGGGTGAAAATAATGGCGTGGAACGCTCAGCTTCAACTTCAGCCTTTCAAGAATCTAGAGGGCCAAAAACTCTGTATGTTTTATTTGAAATTATTTTTAACCTCATTTTCCCTCCCCAAACCATCCTATTGTCAATTTTCATCACAACGGAATGATGTCAGTCAACTTCTTCTTCTATCCATCATCAATCATAGCAGTTAAGAGTTTTTAACTTCTAAAATGCTATTTTATATGTACAAAACCTTTTTCTTTTGCCTAGGGGAGCAATTTGAACCTGCAGTAAAACATTGCACAAAATACACATTGTAAGTGAAATCTGTATAATCAAATATAACAAAAATGGCAGAGAATAACAATTTTCTCACACATATTCTGAAATAGCACTATCCACTAGAACTTGCTTAAATTATTAATCACTCATTCACAATGCTTTTTGTCTTGTGTTTTTAATACAATATATGGGGGAGGGGAGATTTGAACCTTTGACCTTATCCCTCCTAAGGAGGAGTAACAACTACTAGACCAAGCCTCGGTTGTTTTCTTCTTCTTAATAAAAGAAGACGGTCCTTAGAATGTGGGTTTCATAGCATAGCCAAACCACCTTTTCTCACTGAGTAAGAAAGCAGAGAATTATAGTTGTTTAAGAAACAAACAGTATAAAGGTATCATAAGCATTGCTAGTTCAGAGACGCAATAATCAACATATTATCACATTGACTACCTTGAAATAAAATTATTACAATCAAACTCAAACAATGACTATCACCATTCTTCACTTAACTAGCATTTAAGCAGTGAAAGAGTAGCTTCATTTCACTCTACACCCGCATTTTCTTGCTGTTTAAAAGCTCACCAAATTTAGCATTGAAGAATGAACTATATCATTATATTAAAACACCAAATGCAATTAATTAAAGTTGAAAGGAAAGCTTACAAACTTATCAAAATGCTGAATATCAAACTACTACATGTAAATTCCCAGATGATAAAGGGAAAAAAATCAAGCAAAGAAAAAGATGTGACAAAGATAACCAACTAGATTTTCTAGATCTCATAGTTAAATTCTAATAGTTGGAACAAATATTTAACTAAATATCCATGGGTCAAATGAAAGATTATGTAATACTTGGTTGTTTTATGATGTAATACACAAAAGAAAAAACTATTGACAAAAGAAAATGAGTGAGAAAACACATATAAGATTGGCAGTAAAGCACACTTAGAATATGCAAAAACTTTTTTCAAAAGGATCCACCATGCAAGTAAATTCCAAAACAGTTGCTAGCACAGTTGATAAATGAAAACAGAAACTAAATAAATATATAGTTTTAGTAAACCAATACCACTGATGTTGTAGGCTATTCATTTCTAAAATCTTCATAACTCAATCCCTCTGATATGGTGTCCAACCTGTTGTTTTCTCCTATAAACCAAAGACAAAAATGTCATGCTCTTCATAAATCACAACTAAAAAATTGAATGTATAAATATTTGGATGGGGAGGCAGGGGAGAAAAGAGGATCACCTTGATGTTCTCTTTCACGAAAATCCAGGAAATTTTCATTATCTGTTGCTAAAAAAGGTGACCGCGGGTAGCTCTCCAGTATATCTGAAATTATTCAGAGGTTATTCTGAAAGTAAGTATATCTAGATTTCTTTTTTTGGATCACATATATATATATATATATATATATATATATATCAGAACCCATTAAGAGATTATTCTTAAAATATTGTGTTTTTCATAAATGAATTAACTAGTGCTAACTGGGCCAAATACTTGCTTATACACAAGACATATATTTTAGATAGCTAACTCAAAGAAAACCCCCAAACTCAGCTAAGTCTAGCACAATGCTTAAAATAGACTCACAACCAAGACATGGATGCATACACATGCTTACATGCAGACAAATATATGTGCCACGGGGCACATGCATTTGCCCACACGAACTGACAAAAAGAGAGAGACCTGAACTCTGAGAAAAGTCAGCTGTGAGATCTGAAAAACTGAAATTGCTATGGATCTGGCCTAAAAATCCAAATGAAGAAATGTCAACATCCAGAGGTGGTTCATTCAGTGGTTGTGTGGTTGATTCTACACTACTGAAAGATGTATCCCCAATTGTTGGACGTGCCTCCAGAACATTGTTCTCAGCACCAAACATGTAAGCAGAACTGCCCGAATAACCAGCTTCTGATTTTATCATTTTCCCATTTATTCCTTGCATCAGACCCATGTTTGAATTCTGAGTTGAAACCATGGCTGGTGGGGCATCAATCCTACTGGCACGGGTAGGCAGCTCAATAGGAGCATGCATTCCAGTAGGAAATGACAAACTACCATTAGTGAATAAATTAGTCAACCCAGATCCCATGAGATGATGCATGTTCTCCTGCTTCAAAACTTGTCCTGTGTTCTCTGGGCCGTAGCAGTATGAGTTCTGGGCCACTATAAGAGAAAGCTAAATCAGTTGCAAAAAACTGAAACTTGGAGAAAGCCATAGCTTGGCTTTCAGATTGCCAGCAACTAATAATTAGTAATAGTAAAAACTAGTACACCAATTACTACAAATGGTGATCTATCAAATTATTAATGGATTGCTACATTCTCAAAATTCAATTAAAAAAAAAAAAGCAAAGATAAAGGAAGAGTGGGGAAGTTAATAGACCAAAACAAGGTGAAGCAAAATAATTTTTTCTGCAACTGGTCTCTTTTATCAAAAGTGGATATGGAAAAATAAGTGTATAAGAAGTAATCATCCTGATGTCTACGACTGCCTACATCCAAATTCCACATAGGTACCGATAAGGAGGAAATTAAATTGATGCTTTTATGCATATTGTCAACACTTAGAGTTAAAGAAGAATTTAGACAAACTCTTATTTCTTCTTTCTTCATTGGTCTTTACAGTTATACTAACATAAAAGAGCATAAAAGAGCATAAAAAACTACCTTCAATCTTTGCTGCTAGAAAAATGTATAATGATTGTTTAATAAATCAAATCTCAACAAAGAAAAAGCATATTCAGAAAGTACTTCCACAAATAAAGAGCATGCCTCGGCAATTAAAGAAAAATGTGAACATGTCCAACTATGCAAAAAGCAATCTTACTCGGCTGTATGTGAGGTCCATTAGAATTAGAGATTGAGGAAACTCCAGTTGGATCAATATGATGCATCAATCGCACCTGTTGCTCAAGTAACTTGTTGAATTCCATTATTTGTTGCTTCACCATCAATCTCAGATAATAAGCCTGGAAGAATTCTCTATTCTCTTCTTCAAGCTTTTGCCAAACTGACAAGCATGAAATATTTGTAAAAGTAAATAAAAAAACTAATATGATGTAATGATCGTAAAATATTGGCAGAACCCCATGGTCAGAACAATTTATCTATCAGTTGACCAACAATTCTTACCCAACAATTAGTTAAAGCTAGGTACTAAATTCAGGGGGCTTGGACTGTCCAGTCTATAAGCTTCCCTTCAAACGGATTTTGCCACAAGGACTAGTCAATCTATGTGACAAATGGGTATTGGATTGACACACCTGTTTCTACATAGTGGGACCTCCTTTATTTTTTCTTTTTCTTTTTGTAAAGGTTGGTAGATGGAAGGCAATGCCATCGCATGGATTATTGTATCTCTTATAATTTCTCTAATATGTGATTTATAATAGGTTAAAGCTATCAAGTTAGTGGTGTTTCATAAGGACGAAATGTGGAACCAGGACAAAATGTGGATGTTATGCCAAAATAAAATATTTAAACTGTGTTACCAAGTTCAGTAAAACCAGGCTCAATTTCAGCCTGAGCCAGCAGAGTTTCCACAACTTCCTTCTGTGTCATGTAGAGTTGAAGACATCGTTCTATTAGGTTTTGAACCTGAAATCACAAATATAAGAGCAAAAACACCATTAGCCACTCTGGATAGCATACTACCTCTCAGAGCTACATGCCAAACAAATCTAAGAAAGAAGAAACACCTCCATGGACACACACAAGGAAGAACAGCATCCAACCATGCAGAACTAATAGCACATCAGATATACATCTTAATTTTTCTAGGGGAAAACATAGAAATAGTTTTAAGCAGTTTGTGCTTTTTCTCCTTTAGCCAGTCCTCTCCCCTTAACATATGAATGACTAATATTTGTTCAAGAACTGGCCAAAAAATATATATATACTTTGTCAAGAACTTAATTCCTCATATTCATCAAGAAGGGATAAATGACTGGCAATAATTACATCATTTAAAATTATAAATTTTCTTGGTCACCTAAACTTTCCTTAGCTAGCATATGAAAATGCATTCATTGCTAATTGCCACATACAGTCAGGAACAGCATTATAAGCTCCATAAAGTCAGAAATTCAAGGAAACACATTCCCAAGACTAGCCCTTTCTACAGCATTTGCATAAGATGGTTGATCCAACAACACAAAATTAAAAAGCACAAGGTTTTATTTTAATATAAACTACTGCCTAAACATTAAACACAATGACTGTTTTGCAACAACTCACCAAAGATTTGTTTGCCAGTTTTTCCATGTCACCACAGGCTATTGGAGATTTAGATTCTAGGACAAGGTCTATGTTTCCTCTGAGATGTTAGCGGTAGAGGAGAATAGATGAAGACTGAACCAGAGGCTGCTTGTGATTTCTATAGTGAAATAAAAGCAGCCCATCTAAAAAAAGGATCAAAATAGCTTGGCTATAAGAAATATCTACGGAGATACCTAGGCCAGCAAAATTTAGTTTTCCATGTCAAGTGTCACTTTCCTTTAAGATCTTCACCTACCCTCCGTCTTTTGTATCTTTCCACTTTATGGTATAAAGCAAGTTATCTTTCATTCCTCTTGCAATTTTATCTTTGCACATATATGTAACCATTCATTATTATAAAACTTGTTAGAATTACAAATCTTGTATGAACTACAAATTATAAACAATTTATTGCTCTTGGAAAAAGTTTGTTTACTGTGAAGATGGATTATACTAGTATCTGACCTAAAGAAGGACCAATTGCATAAATCAAAAGTAGATTCCACAACTTCAATAATTTAGCCTATGCTTTAAAGCTTTTAAATTTAAATTTTTATAAACATACCAAGCATGTGTTTTCTGCTTCTTATTATTTCCATCAAATAGTTCGTTCCTCTAAACAGCTTCAAAATTTCAAATTTGTAGAAACATTAAAAAAAATAAAAAATGTGGATTACCACCTAAGCAACCATATCTACACGATTGTACTCAATCCACAGTAATGACCTCACTCCACTCTGCCCGACATAAAGTAATAATTTAGAAAGAAATTTAAGTTTTCATAAAGGAAAAAGAGGAACGACAAAATTAATATGTAAACTTATACATACAATAAAATTAATATGTAAGCATACAATTTATTATACACGATTGTCTGTTAACTGTAAAGATCAAGGTCAATATCTTACCAGCTGGATATCTTGACGTGAAACCCTTCTCACTGGTCCAGTCGACATATCTTTTACTTGGTTCCAAACAAAAGTAAGATACTAACCTAACACAACTATACCAATAATTACAAATTGTCTTCCCAAGATTACCGAAACAACGAGTCAGGCAATCTTGCATGCAGCTATATACCTGAAAATATATACCCAAAAACATACACAATTTGACATCAAACAGGTAGCAAATATTCAAGAATCAATAGTTCAAGATAACCATACGAAATTCTCTCTTGATCAATTTTTCATCAATAATTCAACAGCAATTTCTATAATCCAAAATCATATCAATCAAAAAAGATAAATCCTTTAACAGTTTTGATCATGCAAACACAAGATTCGATTAAAAAAAGAGCCTAAATTGCTTCAAAGCTATCTAATTTCATCTAACACTACAAGTTTAAAGCTGTGATGAACATGAAAGCAACAAAATTTCAAATTCTTACAACAAGAATTCTTCTATTATCTTTCTTTCGAATTGGAAACAGAACACAATTAAAAACGACAAAAGAGAAGGGAAAATCGCAGCATATATAAAATTGAGGGAGTAATTTCATTTCAATTCCCGGCGGCATGCAAAGAAACGCGGGTTTATCGGATACGTTTCGAGCGTGTAATAAAGAATTAAAGATTGGTAAAAAAAGTAAAGAGAAATAAAAAGAATAGAGATTTCTCACCTGGGAGGAGATCCGTACAAAACTGAGGTAAGCTGAGGAAATAATGGGAAACGGAGAGAGAAGAAAAGAGAAGAAGAAAGATCATAAAAGGTGGTGGTTACCTCAATAACGCAGTGGGAGAGAAGATTCTTGCTTTTTGGACACTGCCCTTTTTCTCCCTCTTTATTTTTCTTTCTTTTAAAGCAGGCTGCACATTTGATTGTATGTGGGCCTAATTTTTGTTTTGTTTTTTCCACATATGGGCCTTGGATGGGTATTGTTTTACATGATAAAAGATTCAAATTTATAATTTTTTTTTTTTAGCTAGTGTAATTTAAATTTGATTATAAAATGATCAACAAATAATATTCTTAAGACTATTTTAGTAGAGTAACTTTGAATAACATTATTCCTATTAAAACAATTAATAATATAACTTATTATGAATTATGATTCATATGAAAATTGAAGGTTAAGTAAAGCTAATAAAAAAAAATTCCCTTGGAGTTTCTTTAATGATCGAAATCTTACAACAGGATATTAAATGTTACATTAAATTGTAAAATACCCCAAAAAATTCAGCTTAACTTTTCAAATTTTGTTTGACAGAAGAATGGTGTAGGCTGCTGCCATGTGTGCTATGGGTTGGAGCAGTAGAGCAAACCCGACTGACTGGGTAACTGGGGTTAGTTATGGGGAGTATTGGAACTCGGTTCCTAGGACAAACACTCTCTATATAATTATTATTAACCCCAATAAAAGAGTAATAAAACTCATCTCTCTCTGCCTTAACATGTATCATATATATGGAAATCCTTGAGAATTGAAGATAGGATGACCATGGCTGTGATTAAAGGTAGGATGAAAATCATGTCAGAGCATTTGAGTGCGTTAGTTACAATACAAGGTCCTGATCAGCCCCGAAATCAAGAAAACATATCAGACCAAAGATTTCATCTTCCCGTTTCGTGTAAAAGTCAGTGGTTTCAGAATCAAAGGTGATGCCTCCGACCAATTCCAGTTTTTGAGGGAAGAAAGCTCCAACATACATGATTTGTGGTCCATTCCTTTTGATGAAAACTGTGAGCTGTTTCAGCGTTGGATATTCCACCCTCCATTCATGACTAATGATTAAAAAAACAAAAAAATTCAAGTGATGAATAAGCTTTCCTCGGCTGTGCATTGTCCTATCCATCATATTATACATTGGACCAAGGTCTCGGATAACGGTATCGATTCTAGGCCCTAAACGACCTTGGTTTTAAACCATTGTTCTTTTTTTTTTTTCCATTCAGTTCTCAATCATAAGAAAGTGTGGCTGACATACTATTTTCCAATCAGTTCCGTTGCATCACCAATCCAAAGATAAGTTCATCATCTCAAATCATACTGTTATCTTACACTTTTTTTTATTTTTCTTGTCTAGGGAATTCAATTAGCACAACAAAATTGGGAATTTTCAACTTTCTTTTTCATGTAAGATGTATACATGAAACCACTCTATCTCTACACTTCTATCAGAGCCTGTATACCAACAGTAAAAATCTAAACACCCCCCCCCCCAAAAAAAAAGGAAAATTTACCTGAATTACATTTTCAAAAGAAAAAGAGAAATTGTGACATCTTTTTGGCAAGATCATCAAACCACAGTTGTGATACCGCTGTATCTAGGCCTTGATCTCTCGGGTGAAAGCCCTTCCTCTACGGCCTTTCTCTTGTTATTGCTGGATTGTTGTTGCAATAATTGTTCCTGGTGCTGCTGCTCTTCTTCTTTTTCTTGTCGTTTTGGTGATTCAAAGTCTGCTTTTTCTTCTTGCTTCTCTTGTTTTTTATTTTGATCCTTGAATTTGGTTTTCAACATATGGGGCCTAAGTTTATTCAAATCTGATAGCCTGACTGGCTTCAAGAAAAATTCTTCTGCACCTTCTTCTAAACATCTGGGAAAAAAATTATAGCAACAAATGAGTTTCACCTCAAAATCAAATTACCCCTATCCCCTGATTTTACCATAAAAGCAATTTCAAAACTTCTATTATTTGATTTTGTCTTTTTACCTGCTGATCCTTGAAGGGACATTCTCAGATGACATGATAACTACTGGTATGGTTTTTAGAGATGAAGATTCCTGCAAAATTAGAGAAGAAAAAATCCTGTAAATTCTCAAGATCTATTTTTCACGATGGAAAGTAATAAGTTTGGACAAATTTCTCCGTAGACAATATGAAATCAAAATAAATCAAGAAATGGCAAATCATGACATCATGTTTCCAGTGAATATGTTGAACCTGATTTTGCCGTTGGCGGTAAACAAGTGGCAAGATATTCCAAAAGATTGTTTTTCTTTTTTTTTTCATTTGACATCCTCAAGCAAGTGGCAACAATAGGACCCCAAATTGGTAACTTTTTTCATTACAAAATATTACAGTACTAATAATATTGCAATGCAAAATTTCAAATCTAGAAAAAAAAATCAGAAAGGTAAAGACTTGAGGACAGGAATAAGGGAATACAATGATGAAAGATAAAAGAGACAAAGAATAGAAACAAAGCACACCTTGATTTTCTTGAGCAAATCATAGCCTGTCATGCCAGGCATACAGTAATCTGTAATAACAAGATTCACTTCAACTTCCTGTAAATCACAAAAACAAGCAGAAAAATTTTACAAACCAAGCCAAAAAGATAAAAAGAAAAGTCGGGTAATCTCAGATATTAAAAAGAAATTACCAACCTGGTGATTGTTAGAAGAAACAGAGGGTGTATTTGGGTCGTTTGTGTCACCTTCATGTAAACCCAGAAATTCTAAAGCTTTACTGCCTGAATCAACTGTCGTAACTGCCAATGGAATCAAAATGATACATGACAATCAGAACTCAGAAGTACATAAAAGCAGCACAAAAATTTTTTTAAAAAAATGATACCCATGATTCAAGTAGGAAAATTTTCCCAAGTACCTTGATATGAAGAGGTTTTAAGTAGCCTCTCAATAAGCTTTCTATCTATGATGCTGTCATCAACAGCCAGAACATGAAACTGTGATTCTGCTGTTATGCCCATTGTTCCAACTCAAGATCCAATCCGAAAAACCAAAGACAGATTATGTATTGAGAGCAATGGGATTGTGCTGAGATTGAGAAAGATTGTTTCGTGTGTTTGTTTCAGAGGTTGGGGTTGGTTTTTTATTCGTTCTGGTGGTTCAAAGGAAGGTGGTGATGAAGAGAAAGAGTTCGTATTGAAATAAAACTCCACAAGGAAAGATCCGACCAGATTTCATCCCAAATGTTGCAAATTTTACAAGTTGATTGAAATTGAATTATAGGGCAAGCAATGGAGGAAAAAAAATAAAACAGAATGACAAATAATAACGAATAAAATAATGAAATAAATCTAAATGGGAGATTTTTAAGGAGAGACGACGGGGAGAGGTGGTCTTAATTTATACAAACTCATATAATAAATAAATAAATAAATAAATAAAAAGAGAGAGATATAAGTGCATTAATAATAAGGAAAAAGAAATTAGAAAGAAAAAGAAGAGAAAGTTTTGGTTGAAAGCAAGGGGTGAGAGACATGAGGGCGGAACGTGGGACCATCAAAATCCTCCAAGAGATACAGGTGATGTCAGCAGAGGTGCCTTTTTCCCGCAAATGTGAAATCATGTCATGTGGGGGCTCTTGCCATATCTTGAGCAGGGGTAATTGCCGTTGGCAAAGAAAGAAAAAAAAGGAGAGGCCTTGATTCTCTTTTAGGATTTGCTTCCCATGCATCCCCATTACTCCCTATTTTTTTCTATTCTTTTCAAAATGGCAATGGCTGTCATTCATTCAAGCATCTAATCTTAACCCATAGGAAGGGGCAGATCAGCTCACAATTTCCATCCATCCCACTTTAACTGAAATGATTGTTTGTATTCCATTTTATTCCAAAATATTTTGACATTGTCTTCAATGTTTTTTAAACTGAATTTAAGTTCACCTACAACCAGTTATGTCATTTCGTATTTATTTATTTAATATATATAAAATATAAAAATTATTATATTATAATTTATGTCAAAATATTATATATAAAATATATTTTTCATTTTTAATAAATAAATTTATTAAAATTTTAACAGTATAATTTTTTGTTGTTTTATTTTTATATCATATATCATGTCATGTTTAAAATTATTAAATTTATTTACAAACTCTAAAAAAAATAAAAGGTAGAACCCAAATCTCAAATTTTTGACTATTTAATATCTAATCAACCATTTGATGAACTAATTTAATTTAATCTTATCTTATCTCAAAGCTAATCAAATCAAATTCTACTTAACTTAAAAAGTGTCATCTATTTTGGAGGAAGCTTTTTCTCCTTTTTCTTTTAAAGAATTATTTAAGGTGTTTCATTTTTATATGACGATGAAGAAAAATTCAGCATTTAAACCATTACAAAGAAAAAGATATTAGAGAAAGAATAAGCTATCATATTTCCTATATATTGTGGGTATGATGGCAATTTTCCCTAAAAAGTAACTATATATTTTAATTATCCCAAAAGAATAAACTTTCCAACAACAACAATATAAGAGTCATGATTTGATCAAAACTTTAATATCACCTAAGCCCTAACAGTGCATATTATGTTAAACTCCATAGGTGATTTATGTTTTGTAAGCTTTGGGAGAATCCAATATCTTTGTTGCTCCGCTTGGTCCCGCTCGGTATCGTCGCTTTCTCTCCCCCTTTAATAATTAATGAAGGCTTTTATCATAATATTGAAATAAAAAAGGCCAGTTAAATTATCATATTAATCACATTTTCATTATTTTTATATATAGGATTTATTTCATGAGCTCTATTGATTTCGATCTTCAATTTAAAATTTCATTTGATTATTTTAAATCATAAAACTTCATGAATTTTATTTATAGAATTCTATCTAAATCTTTATGATAAGGCATGTGATTATTAAATAAATTATATTTTAATTTTCTTTGTTAGCTATATCTCTATTATCATCATAAGGATTTCCATTATTTTATATATATATATAAAGTCACTTATTTAGATTCTACTTTTATTATTTGTATTTAAAAAAAAATTATTAAAAAAAAAAAAGTAAAACATAAAAGCAATATCCTAATTGGTTCAAAATGAAACATGACCAATTAAAAACATAATTAATCTTTATAGGAGAAGAATTTTAAATTTTATCATATAAAAGGTTACATATTATAGGTATAATCCCTGAAAAATTTATCCTTCTTAAATCCATTATTTGTACTCATTGTTTTTTCCTTCTAAGCGAGAAACAAATAATAAAAATGTCAATCAAACAAAATCTTAGTCACGAGAACTAAAAACAAATTTAAATTGTCCCTTTTACATTAATTAAATAATTGATTGTAAAATAAGATGGTCTAAAAGTCTTGTTTAAGAATTCCACAGTTTCTTGCAGTTTGATGGAAACTACCCATCGTTTGCCCCGAAGTTTCAAAGTCAATCCTGCTTTTGAATTGGTATTGAAACATAGGAGCAATAAAATCAAATTAAGAAAATCTGCATTGTTAGTTGAAAGGAAATTTCACACACCCACGTACACACAAAATCCCAAATCCAAGATTTGGTGATTGACTATCAAAATTTGATTCTGCTGTTTCTTTTTTTTTTTTTCCTTCTTCTTCTTTGTCTTTATATGCAAGCAAAGTTGGTTCAAAATTGTCGTCAAAAGGGTCAAAGAAATCTAAAGCGTGAAAGGCTACAAGTAAACGAGATTGACCCTCTAGAAACAATTATGCTTGTTTAAACAAATATAAAAAAAAAAAAAAAAAATCTATTCCTATGTCAAAATTTAATTATATGATGTGATTTTCTTGATTGCATTCATACTTGCACTAATAATGTTTAGGAGACTTTAAGCACTAATTGAGGAAAAAACAGAAAAACTCAATGATAGTAAAGTATATATGTTAGGTGGACCAATGTGGCCTAAATCTTGTAGTAGTAACTTCTTCCCCCTTTTCTTCACTTTGTTGGATACAGTTAACATTTGTGAAGGATGGATAAAGGCAAGCTACTCTTTTTCATTGTATTTCATGCTGGGTTTTTTTTTTTTTTTTTTTTTTCATTTTTTATAAAAAGATTGTAATTTAAAGATAGAAGAAGAAGTTATATATTTTTAAATTAAAAATTGAAAATTATTAAATGTTACATTTTTTAAGAATAATTGTATAAATAAATTAAATTAAATTAAATTAAATTTTGCATTCTCTGTGTTCCCTTTTTTTAAGTATGTATAAAAATGGTTCAAACTTTTGTACATATATTTTTGCATTTATGGAACAAAATAGATATATAAAATAATAATAAATTAAGTTTATAAAAAAGGTTCTATTTAATTATAAGTTTAAGCCATGAAATTGGCCAAAAAAGCCATATACATGGTGAAGGGTAAAGAATACGTTGTAATTATTATTGAGACTTAACTAGCGTGATAGAAATGAAAGTATAATTTTTTTTTTTTTTTATGTTAGAAAAATTTTATACTACTTAAAACTTTTTTTCTTTGATTTATAATATTTTGGCATAAGAAAAACAGTATGGTTGGAATTAGAATTTTATACAACATATTCTTTTGACTATGAATGCAATCATATTTTTAACCAGACTTTATAATATTTTTACTAATTATTATTAGAATCTTATATAATATATTATCTCTAAAAACCAGTCTTCCTCTTTCTAAAATCTCACTGATTTCCACCGCTACTAGTAATCAGCATATACTATCATCATCTGTTATCGTTAATCACCGATGATCGATATCAATTTTCATCAAATTTCACCACTCATCTTAATTTCTTTTTCACCTCTATTTACTTCATTTTTCCTAAAACCTTCTAAAAGAGCATAGATATAGCTTTTTTCCATCCTAAAACATTATCCTAAGTCACTCCAAATCGCCTGAAAATTGAATGTCTCTCCCCTTACTTAGCTCTTCCATCTCGTTAGTTTAACTAAAAACTTTTCCAACCACCGCTGGCCTCCTCCGATCTTCCTTTCTCCCTTCACTTTGTGTTTTTCTTTTTTTTTTTTACTTTTCGTGTTGCTTGCTTCCTTTATGGAATGATGTTTATTGTTTTTTTATGATTTTCTGTCCATCGATGGAGTATTATTGCCGACAAGAGTTTCTAATTTTGTATTTGAGATTATTTTAGAAAATGAATAAAATGTTAAAGGTAAAATAGGGTTTAAAACATATTTTAGTTTCATGGTTTCACATAGTAACAAATAATAGGGGAAGAAAGAGAGCGTCAATTTTGATCAACCCGACCGGTTGATAAAAAATGAACTCCATTTTCCCATTTTATCCTAACAAATAAATAGTAAATGGAATCGGTAAAGAGTCCGAATGGAATTCAGATTCTGTTGAACAAAACAGCAGGAGGCAAAGGAAGGTCCTCTTCCTTAAACAAGCATGAAAGGTTGAGGACATATATAGGGTAGCAACTAGCAACAGCGAACATGTAACGGAAAATATTGCAACCGATGTGTGTGTGTGTGTGTGTTTTAATCAAATAATAAAAGATTGGCCGACACACTTTAATTGGGTGTACAACCTGTCACACATAATCCATGCTTCCAAGATTGCAAAAGCTCCTCTTCCGGAGGCCATTCCCCCATTCCCAAACGTGAATGCCTGATATTCTGCTGCTAACCCTACCTCCTTTTTTTTTGTTTTAATACTTATTCCTATTGACCTTCGTTGTCCCTTGGGCCCCTCGAGAGACAAACAAGTTTTTGCTTTCTTTTTATTTTTTTTTCTATAAAAAGAAAAAAATCCCACCTATCAGTTTAATGAAAGTTCTTCTTTTAATTACTTTCATGACTTAATAGTTTGTTAATTGTCGCGTGAGAAATTTGGTTTAATAAGAAATGGATGTATGTATGTTGTGTTCATAAGTTAAATTCGAATTCCTCTCACAAATAAAAGATAATAATAATATTAATAGTAATTTGCTATTGTTTGGGTTGAAATATTTTGAGCACAACTTGATAATTATGCATTAATATATATATATATATATACACACACACACACTCACTTACTTTTCTTATATTTTAAATTGATTTTAATTTTTTTTCTATCCGTTGACAATAAAAAAAGTATTGTACATCAATGTTACAAAAAAATTGAATTTCTAATATTAATTAAATACACAAAAATAATAATATCTTAATATAAATGGAAGTCAAAGAAAAAAAATTCCAAATACTTTGCCATTTAATTGAGGGAATATTAGTTTACATTTTGCAACAGTTACCACCAAAGTTTTCGAATTGTTGTTTCAACTTCACTTGATTGCATTTCTTTAACAGCTTTACTACACTGTTTTAGGAGCGTCAGCCGTGGTAAAGTAAACCGCAGTGGTTCACTACTGAATAAGACAAGACACGAACCCAAATCCCAAACGTCAAAAGGCACAAAACTGTAACTTGCGTTTAAGAAGTTAGTTGTTGCGAATATAAAACCTCTGTGAATTCAGACTTGAAAGTCCCCATACTTAGTTTTAGGCGATTTCCAGCATGCACTCAAATTTAAGTTTTCAACCTCAGCTTTTGTGCTCAAACAAAGTTCAAGGCTTAATTTTGTCAATCCAAGCTTGAACAGACACGTAGAAGCTTCGACAAATGCTTACGAGAAAACTTGGACAGCATACGACGCTAGTCAAGACAAGCTTGAACATCCAGCCATTTAGATTCAGCTTCACCCTTTTGAAGCCATTACAAATCATTATTCCATGAAAGTGTGTTAAACTTCAACTTCATTAATACTTGCATCTTACAAATTCTCTTCACCAACGGGTTACTCAAGAAATAAATAGAAGCATATAACCTGAATAAAAAAACGCATATCCCCTCAAAAGCTACTGTATTTTAAACATAAATAATCGTACCACATAATGACTAATTCAACACTGTTATCTATCCCCAAAATTTCTTGGTGTCACAAACATCACCCAGACGGACATACGAGGGTTACAATATACTCCGCTTACAGGGTTTACAATATATTCCACTTATCTGCCAAAGCTTCAGTAATCCTTGCAATGCACATAGCAGCACTTAGCGGATAACCAGAAACTGCAAGAAACGGGAGAAATAATAATAATTAATTATGTTTAAACAGCAGGTTTTTGTTCAGCCTTGATCAACACAATCACTGACGAGAAAATAGCCAAATTCAAGAAAAAAGTATATGCCTAGCAATAAAACCACCTATATGCACCCATATGCATAAATGTACACAAGGAGATTATAAACCTTGTTTGAACCTCAACACTGAGATATTCTTCATTCTATAGCAATGAGAAGATATGCCATAGAAGACAATGATGTAGGTCTCGTCCCCTTGAGCATGTTCTGCCTATAGCATAAGGAATGATAAGAATTAAAATTCCATGCTCGTAAAATATGATTGTCTTGAATATTGTAATAAGCTATGTTACTCAGGAGGGTAAGTGACAGTCCCGAGATACTCGATTTTTTCAAAGTTTTTTCATATATTTGGAAGATCATACACCATACCCATGTCCGAATATGCGTTGGAAATGGGTACTTCAGGGAAAATGAAGAGTTGCAGTAACATAGGTAATAAGTCAGAAGTTACCATCTCCAACCCACACCACCTACTCCAGAACTCTTCATGCAAAAATGATCTACTAAACATAGAAAACAACTATTCATGTTTCCTCTCCAGGCTTATCAGTAACCATATCCTTCATCTTCTACAGGTAGTTTAGCTTTCATCTATTCCTATTGACTAGGCTTACTCCCTGCATATTTCTACTTGATTCCTGGTTCTTATGGGATTCAAGGCTTACGAATCAGAATCCTCAAAATTTCCACAACAAAATCTAACAAAAATACACACATGCAGAATGTGGAACTCACTTGCTATAAAATCATCTGTATACTCTGTCTCTATTCTCCCATGGGCCATTGCACCCACCTGAAAAAATGCAGAGATATAGGATAAGGAAACAATTATAAATAGGGAAGAGAAAGAAAAGAATTCTATGTCACACAGGACTTACCACAAAAACAAGGTTCACATCATCACCAACAGCATCCACATATTTACTCATTTTAACCAATTTCTCTGAGCTATATGAGAAGCCTGATGCGCACGAAAAATAACTTAAATGCTGGAAACAACATCTTTGTATTGACAAGATACAAGAGAAACAACAACCAAATTGAAACCAACCTATTTTGCGAGAGTTGACAGGAAAATACTTGGTTATAGGATTCTTTATCACTTGCAAAAGTTTTTCACGCTTACCAACAGCAGTTATATTTAGTTTTTGTAACAGCTGCACTGCATGATGTTGAATAGGTCAATAAGAAATAGCCCTGTAAAAGTTTTAAAATGTGGTGGAAAAGACATAATCTCAGAACGATAAACTTACACATGATACCAGAGAACCGCTTATACGTTCTTGGAATTCGAACATGAGGTTTAACTTCAAAAAGTACTCCTTTCTCGGTTCTAACATACACAGCTAGCAATCTCCCAGCCTTATTGACGGGGCTATCTAAAATTGCTAGAAGAGCCTATGCGAATCAGCACAGTTGTCAGTTAGTTAAAGGAGTTAAATCCTCCATTAAGATTTTTACATCAGGCCTTGTCCCGAAACATCGAGAATGCACTAGGAATTAGTTTATCATAGTTTAAACAAAAGAAATATAAATTTACAAATAAAACCAGAAAAAAAGAAAGGAAATAACCTGATGGGTTATGTCAGGTCTGAAATCAGCAGGATTCTTGTTATTTTTCCGCAAGAAATTGGCATGATCATCCGAGTTCAAGAGTTGGAAACTCTGTAATTTAGACCCAACAAGAGAAATTACAGTTGAAACCGAAAATTAGAAAAAAAAAAAAAAAACCTCTATTAAAAACTACCATAATCACAACATATGCAAATAAAATTTGATTACTTAAAAATGATAAAAGAAATGTTAAGCACAACAAATATAAAAATACAAGTTCCATATACCTTTCCAACTTTAGCAACTTCCAAAGAAGCCTTCTCAAGAACAAAAATGACCCCAGTTTTGTTGGTCTTTTTATCACTGGGGGCAATTGGGATTCCCACAAGGTCATCTGTTCCAGCTTCGTCTTCTTCCTCTTCTTTACCTTCAGCTTCCTTTGTTGGCTTTGCAATAGAAGCTCCCTTTGCTGCCTCTTGTTCTTCCACTTCTTCTTCTTCTTCTTCTCTATCATACTTATCCTCTCTCTTCTTCCGCTTCTTCCCTTTTACAGCATAGGGCCGTACCATTTTATTGGCTCAAAAAATTATTTATCTTTTAAGCAAAAGTAGCATGGCAAGATAACACTACATCAGATTAAGACTATAAACATCCAACAGGAACAGTTTTTTCTTTTAATTTCAAAATTTACACTGGAAACAAAGTAAGTAATTGAATTTAGAAAATGTAGTATTTTCAGGGCGGGAAAGTACCTCGGAGTGTGGCGGAGATAAGAAGACAGAGTAGCAGAAACCCTGGAGCCTTAACTTGAGAAACGGGATTGATTATAAATGAGTAACGAGATTACTTTTAGGGCAAAGTGTGTTGCTGGGCTTGGGTTAAGTGTCCTTCATGGCCCACCCCTAAGGCCTCATTCGCACAATTCTTAAACAAAGCCAGTATATTTAATTTTGGAGTAAAATCATATTTATTTTATTGTTATTGAATTAAAAAAAATTATTTCACTATCTTTTACACTAAATTTTAAATTTCTTTTACACGCTTGATGTTTCATAATTTTATAATCTCAAAAAGTAAAAAAAAAAAATGAAAACATAAAATACTACAAATAGCATTTGAGATGTTTAAAAAAGATTACCGAACAAATAGGATAAAAATACTACAAATATCATTTTATAATTCCAGGGGGGGCGAAAGAGGAGAAGGTGGATAATGGAAGATGATGGAGGCATCGGAATGAGAGACATTGATTTTTAATTATAATTGAAGAAATTGACTTGTAATTGAAACATTTTTAAGAAACTGAAGATTCAAAAATTAAATATTATACAAAGATTATATACATGGATAATTAGTGGGGTAGCTAGCAGCTTTACCCCGACATCTTGGTTAATTCTATTGTATTAAAATAAAATAAAAGAGTCATTTTACTTGTTTCATTAGTTTTATCTCAAATTTTTATTTTGTGAAACAATATAATTATTGAATAGATTCAAATGTGGGGTATGCTATTTCATGATTAGGCTAACTAATTCATAAATGATATTTAATTATATGTCATGCCAAAAAATAAAAAATTAAAAACATAAATGACGAAACGAATGGTATTTTTTAAATTAAAAAAAAAAAGACGACTAATTAATCTTCAAGTGTAGCCAAAAAAAATTAATCTTTATCAATATATATATATATATATATATATATATATATATATATATAAGACCATCCCCATCCAGAACTCGAGGGTGGCTTCGGCTGTGCGGCTTCTAGGCACACGACCTCGTAGTTTATGCATGCGGAAGCAAGTGAGAAGCCTACTTCAGCCTCGTGTATGGCTTTCACCACGTATGCAACTCACACGCCTTCTGCCTCTCTTCATCAAGGAAAAATATTAACAAACTTTGCTCCCCATGTTGTCATTCTTATTATAGAATGTCCGAATCCATTTTAAATATGGTTACACGAAAGCCCTGAGGTAGCTATCTTAAACTGTCATTCATGAGCTCACCAACTCTTACTAACTCTATTAATTCAACTTTCAAATCTATATTTGTTTTGTTATAAACTAAAATATAGCTGATTTTAATTTCATGAATGGTATAAAACCAAAAATAATTAAAAACATTCTAATGTTAGCTATGAGTAAATTATATGATTAGCAAATATGTTTGTAATTGTGTGAGTAAATAAATTAATATTTCAAGAGAGACAAAGTATATTTATATGCCAATATTATTTGAGACAAGATTCATATTTGTATTTTGATCATCTCTTCTTAGAATAAAAAAATTAAATAAAAAAATTGGGAAATATTCACATTCTTGAAAATATTTTGCATGGATTAAGTGTGTATATAATAATTAACCAAAAGCAGGTCGTGCATTTTTATTTTGAAAAAGTAGAGTTTCAATATAAATAAATATATAACTAATTAATGGCTCATCACAGTGCGAACGCATCAAATGTACCTTCAATTGGTATTATATATAATAAGCATCTCCCCAATCCCAAATTGATTCTTATTAACAAGGTTCATTTAAAAACAAAAAAAACCCTATATAGACGATTAAGCATGTGTACATTATCCCCTTTGTTTCCAGTGTGTGACTGGCGCTTTGATGCTCCCATAAGCCATGAACAGCTCAGCTATACCTTTGCAGACGCCGAAAGCTTTGAGGAATTCCTTGATCATTTTACACCAACTCTGCAAGAAATCCAGCTTGATCGGTCTCTATCATTCATGGGACACAGTGGTAACAACCCCACCATCGACAAGAAGCTTAACCACAACGCCAGTGAGCGTGACCGAAGGAGGAAGATAAACCGTTTGTACTCCTCGCTTCGTTCGCTGCTTCCAGTGTCTGAGCAAACGGTAGGAATTAATAAAATAATCATTTGTTTGGGTTAATTTGGTTTTGACCAGAGAAAGTATTAGCCTACGAATTAATTGTTAATTTTATCTTGTTCCAGAAGAGGTTAAGCATTCCAGCCACAGTCTCACGAGTGCTGAAATATATTCCAGAGCTACAAGCGCAAGTGGAAACATTGGGTCAGAAGAAAGAAGAGATTCTGTCCAGGATTCCTACGCAAGATGAGTTTGTCCATAAACAAAACATAACAAAATTAGAGAGGTTAACCACCACCTCTCCTCTTGCTATTTCAGTCAGTCGGGTTAGTGAAACTGAAGTTGTGGTTCAGATTTCAACATTTCGGGCGTATGAGACTCCATTGTCTGCTGTCTTGCCTAATTTAGAAGAGGATGGTCTATTTTTAACCGACGCTTCTTGCTTTGAGTCTTTTGGAGGACGAGTCTTCTATAACTTAAATTTTCAGGTGTGCTTTTCAAATTTTACATATGTTAATTGCAACTTGTTTAATTTCTTTTTTTTTTTTTTTTTTAAGAGAGAAATAATTTTTCTTTATCAATTAGATCAGCCTTAGCTCTTTAATCAAACCCCACAAAAAATTGGATCAGCCTTTTCCTTTAAAATCATAGTTAATTTGTTGTTGATGTTTATGTCCTTAATTTCTTAATATTGCAGGTGGAAAGAACGAATAACTTGGAAGCAGTGGGTTTGAATGAGAAGCTATTGTCCTTGTATCGGAGAAGGAAATGTTCATGGCCATAATTTTTTTATTATTATATCTTAAAATAGTCCCTAGTTTCATATATAAATAATAATTTGAATGAAATTAACAGTGTATAAATCAAATGGACTGTATGGTGAGGTGAAAAGAATTTCTTCTTTATGAATTTAGGCAGAGGAATAATTCAGTTGATGTATATGTTAATTAGCTTTTACTCCTACAGGCATATGGGCATTTTTATATGTAATTCAAGTGTATACCTATTACCTACTGACTCTAAGATTAATTACGAGATTTGTGTAATGGATTTGTAAACCACTTCAATTATCAGGCTTTCTAATGCTTCAAGGAATGCTTCTCTTCAACACATTTTTATTATTCAAGCAAATATATGTAAGAATTCTTCATCTTTAACATGCTCAGTGAGACAAAGAGAACATTGAGCTTTCTTCTAAGAATTTGAAAAACTGTCTGCAACGGCCTTCTTCGGAGGAGATATCCATAAAGCTAGGTAAGTCTCCAATACAATCATACCATCAAGTTGGTGGAGAAGATAGAAAAATTCCAAGTTCTTTGGGTAGACTTGAAGCCAAAAAAGCAGTTGCTTTAGCTAAATCGACAAACTTTGTTCACAGCAACCGATATGTCCAAAAAAAAAGTGAAAATGAGATATTATAAAGCTCCCACAACACTCCCATATATATTCAGTATGATCCAAGAGTTTCTTTGGACCAAATTTGGACCAACTTTTTTCATATTGCCAAATTTCCATTTTCATTCATTTCAGAAGATCATTCAATCATGTACTTGCTTTTAGAAAAAGATATAACTGATCTGATGCTTGACAATAAGTCTCAACGCCAGAGAAGTAATGCACAGGTTCTGAATCTTTGATAGCAAAATCAATAAATGCTATCATTAATCAAATTGGAAATTAAAATATCATATAAGTACATATAAGATGTAAAATAAACAATCTAATTATATAATCTGTTTTGGAAGCAACAAACAAGGCCCAATTCAAGAAGTTGAACCATGCTCATATGCAGCCTCCAATCAGTACAAGGACTTATGCAATATGCAAATATGCTAATACAAGTTAAGGATCAGGTGGCTACTATATTCAAACATCTTCCTCAAAAGTACCATGATGTAAAAGAGGCTTTTTGAACGTCTATTGTTTCAACAATATTGATCTATTAATTACTATAACTATCTACACCGTAAATAAGCCCAACAGCAGGAAAAAGACATGTAATAAAACAAAGATGATCAAAGATGGCATACAAGTTAATGTGGCAATTAGTTAACCAATTAAATTCAATCATCCTTCTTGTAATAATTATCTGATCGATTTATAGTTAGATACCTTTTGATCCAATCCCAGCCAATTGACTCAGGGTGAATTCGCCACCCACACCTCGAACTTTATTAGTTTAAGTCTAAAACAATATTCTGGCACGCTCATTCCATCTGGTATATAGAGTCGAAAATAACTAATTAACATCGTCACATTAAATTAAGATAATTATTCTATGTTACTGATATAAATAAACTATTCCTATAACTAAGAAAAGAAAACAAAAGATATGAATTGCATAAGGAAAGAACAATATTAAGAAAATTTTTTGATTTATTGAACCAGAATACTACCTCGCTTCGCTTAGGGACGGGTTTATTTTTTAAAGATTTATAGATAATAATATAAAATAAAAAAGTATAGATAGATGTGCTAATTTGAAATGATTAGTTGTTTTTACATTGGTGAGCTCTATAATTTGTATTAATAATCTTATGTGGTGTAATAAAATATTATACATCTTCAAAGCATCATTCACTACAAATTTAAGGTAATGATTCGGGGTTATATTGTTAAGCCTTTTGTTATATTCTTATAATTATTTTTTTATTAATGTTTCATTTCTCAAAAACAGTAAAAACATTCTGAATTTTGATTATAATGAGTTATTATTTTATGATTAGTTGAAATTAAATTCTTTTATTGAAAAATATAAAAATATTGATAGTCAATGTATAAATAAAATTATAATAAAATTTATATTTATAAAAATATTTATCAACTTTTAGAATTTAAAATTTATTATTTATATCACATTTTTATTTTAAGTTTATTAAACTAATTAATGATTATGAAAAAATAAAATTAATTATAGCATTTGAAGTTAAAGAAAAAAAAAATCTGTAACTTATAAATTTACAAAATGATCCAAAATATGTTTAAATTTGTTCGAACTTGAGAAGAATCGAGTTTGAAAAAATTTAAATTCAAAATTATCTAAATAAAGAATAGTTTAAATTTAAAAGTGGGTACTCAAAATGGATCGATTTTGAAATTATTTAAATTTTAAAAAATCATAATTCAAAATCATTCGAATCTCAAATGATTCAAATCTAAAATCAATCCGATCTGAACCCGTTGAATTTTTTACCATAATGGTTGAGAATATAATGAGTAAAGCTAAGATAAAGAACACTAAAGAGGAAGCACATTTGTGAGTTGTGACACGAAATATAGACAAAATGGAAGAAAAGTCAAGCTTCAGCTTGTTTACGTTGTTGTCAGGGTCGACAATATAGAATTTGGCATGTAAAAATTCAAAACTAGCCAAGAACATGAGGCAATCTTTTTATTATGTTTTCTAATTCCTGTGATGTAAACAAGCTACGGAAAGAATAGGTACACAAGCAAGAGATTAGCATGTCGGGCAAAAGATGAGCAGGAGAAATCTTTGTGTTGAATATGGAAAGAAGTGCATATAATTAAAGCTGTATAAAATGATAACAATAATAATAAAGTACTGCGAAATGTTGTTTTCTAAATCGAGCAACTGGTTACTTTGCTTCATATGCATGCATCTCACTTTTGTTTTTAGTATTACAATTTTTTCAAAGGCTGTGGTTAACGGCAATTTATGATTTATCAAAAAAAGATTGATAATTTTTTAGTCAAAAGAAATAGGCAACGAAATTCAATAATAATAATAATAATAATAATAATTAAGGAGGATCGTTTAGTTTGGTATGATCACGGCATCAAGAAAGTGATCCACCTTTTTAAGAAATTGTCACAAATTAATGTTATTCTTGATGAAATGGTGGTCAAGTGATGAATAAATAAATAAATAAATATATATTTATATATGGGAGAAACCAAACGCCTAACAAAATGCCAATATATAAATGCTACAATGAGGGGTATCAAGATTCAGTTAACTGAACTGGGACACAAAAACAGAAAAAAAGTGTGGGGCACGCCCACTGGTAACGACTGTGGGCAATAGCACTTCCTCACGTCTTCAGTACAGAAAAATCAATACATTTTCCAATTCTTTAAACAACATAATAACATGAAAATCCATTTCCTTATATAAACCACTGATCAAACTTGTCCTAATCTAAGGATTTCAAATCTACAGCTATGCAAGAGCGTGAGTGGTTGAATGATCAGCAGCCGGGATCATATATAGCTTTCATTACTGGTACGAGTATGAGATGGATCATGGTTATGATGGTACTAGCTGTGTCACTGCTAGTGCTACCGCTGCTGCTGCCATCTCTGCCTCCTCCACCGTCGATGCTGCTTTTCGTTCCGGTTTTGATAATGTTTCTTCTCCTTTTCTTGGCCTTGTCTCCATCCCAGGCTCCCAATATCACCACCACTGCAGTTTGAACTCTGATTTCAACCCCAAAGTCTTGAACTTCTTCTCATCTTCGAGCTAGGACTAGTTAACCTGCAATGGTTTCTATACGTATCAAAAATCCCAGAACAAAAAGATGAAAGAATATGATACCCACTAGACTCCAGGATACAAAGATGGAAGGTTTTCTTTCTGTATGTATTGCTTCAAGTACTATCTGTAAGTTGAATTCATTTTATAAATTTAGATTCTGCGTATGAAAACTCTACACATTTTTTTTATCCCCTTAATTGGTTTTGTTGTAAAGCAAAATCTTTGTTCCAGATTTCTTGGCTTTTGAGCTGAAAAAGAATAAATTAGTTGTAGGGGCCATGGCTGCCATGACCGGCCGAGCTTTTGCAAATTGTTATATTCATTTAGGCCAATCTTTTTTCATACATCTGTAACTTAGATATGATTCCAAAAAACTTCAATACAATCAGTTGTAGGCTCTAATGATGCTTCAGTTTCAAACTTTCCCTGGCACCCAATCTTAGATTTGAGCTGCTACACAGAGGAAAAATATGAGTGATGCTATTTGGGCGATCCAAACTGGAAGTTGGAATTATCCTTTTGCCCACAAATTCTTCCTCTCACAATTCTCACTTTGGTATAGTAGTTATTGTTTTTAAGAAGAAAAAAAAAATCTTGGTTTTGAATTAAGACCTCTTTTCCCTCTTTCTCATGAATTATATTCATCTTGAGTAATAAAAAAAAAAAAAATCGAGGATAGGGGTAGTTCCCTTGCACATTATGTAGACATTGTCTTTAAATCTCACCATGGGCTTTTCTTATATATATATATATATATATATGTGTGTGTGTGTGTGTGTGTATGTATGTATGTATGTATGTGTGTATGAGGAGTGATCCATTTACAATATTTGTACTTTCATTGAGTTGTATCCTATACCTTGTAGGGATACGATTGTTGTTATTGTCGATTTTTTATGAATAAAAAATTTATTTGGCTGAGAAAAAAAGGTAGCATCCTAAGCACATAAATATAAGATTCATGCTACTTGTCTCACCAATTTTAACTCAAATATTTGTGTTTCATGACATGACATATAATTATTAAACAAATTCAAAGATCAGATTTATCAATTCATAAGTAAGTCAATTAATTCATTAAAAAATATATTATAATCAAATCAATAATTATATATCATATCATAGAATAAAAATATTTTGAGATAAAAGTGGTAAGACCAATAGTATTTTCTTAAATCTAACAATAGTCTCTTTACCTTTAGCCAATTAATTTTAAATTAATGTTCATCTTAAAGTTAATATGATATCATAGTAAGCGTTGTCCCATTTGATGTTTTTTTCATGATAAATTTGTTATGATTACCAACGAAGTTCATACTACAAGATAA